GATTCACAGCATAGTAACAGAGAAAGTCTAACTTTACGTGCTGCATCGTGCTCTTGGCGATTAGGTTGTCTAACAATTCAGTTATTATGGGTTCTGGTGGATCAAAGAAATCTAGAAATCTTAATGTAGTACCTCGACAGCCTCAAATGGACACGGCTGTGAACAGACCGCCAATATCTGATTTGAAGCCCAAAGTTGTTCAACACCGGCCAGCACAAGATCATGGCCATACGTCAAGTGTAAACAAGGAGCACAAGAACGAAGAACGAAGTGAGATGATTTCACTGGATGAGTGGGAAGTCTTACTTAAATACACGCACAGCTTCCCAGAGCTACAAGATGACCTTCAAACGATGTTAACCCCTCTACAAGGTTTGAGAAAAGCCGTAGACGACAAATCCAAGGGACATATAATTCAATATTCTAGGCTGGGAGGAACAATTGTAGAGTTGGCTGAAAAAAGCTACAGCACATATACATCAGCAGGGACGAACGACTCAGAAAAATTCAGCACACTTATGGAGTTTATAATTGAAGTCGAAGGAGCAACAGTGTTGCATAGCTTCGTGAAAAACTGTTTCAAAGATTACTATACTGATGGAACAGACGACGAATTGAGAACAAGTGACCAAGAGGAGACTTTCACTTGCTTTGACAGCCTTTTATTCGCACTGTCAATAATACAAAACTTTGCTGATTTCCACGATGGTTTTTGCTTGGCGAGCGCTCAAGATGGAGTTGTACTAACTTGCATGGAGAATATCAAGAGGATCGATCAAGAGAATGATGACTGGCAAAGCGAAGATGAAGGATCTGAAACATTTCTCATACTTGACGCGTGCACCGGCATTTTGCACAACATTTCTCGCCGACTGAGAGATCGCCAATGGTTTGCTAACAGTGACGAGACTTTACTTTATTTTGCAAAGGTTAAAGTGGCAAGTATTGCTACCTCGGCCTTGTTGTGCCTGGCGTACCTTGTTAATGAAGAAACTAATCATCTAATCTCCGCCGAAAAAGACTTGCTTCGCTTCATTATAACAATGTTAGACGAAGCTTGGAATGCAGAAGACCGCCGAAGCAACGGATTCTCCGCTAAGGAACTTGCAGAAGGACTCAGTCATTTGGCAATTAACGACAACAACAAGCAAATTCTTGGATGCGAAGGGGCAATAAGAGTTTTAACGTCAACACTCCAGACCTCAAGCGACGACGAGGAACGAGCGAGTGCGGTTAAAGCATTGTGGATGCTGGCTTTCGACGACTCTAACAAGGATATCATTCGAGAGGGAGACGGAACCGTGGACATCTTACGCACATTACACCACAGTCAAAACGCTGAAGTGCAAAAGGTAGCCGCTGGAGCATTGTGGGAGATTGAAGGAAAGACAGCAAGAGACAAAGCCGACAAGACAAAAGAGGGGTCTGGAAACCACGTGATGATTAGCTACCAATGGGATGCTCAGGATGTCTTGGTTCAAGTCAAAAATCAACTTCAGGCTAATGGATACAGAGTTTGGATGGACCTGGAGCAGATGGGTGGGTCCACACTGGACGCAATGGCCAAAGCTGTCGAGAACGCTGCTGTTGTATTGATCTGCGTGTCACAACGATACAAAGAGAGTCCCAACTGTCGTTCAGAGGCCGAGTACGCCTACCAGTTAAGAAAAGACATCATTCCTTTGATGATGCAGAAAAATTACAAAGCGGATGGCTGGCTAGGAATGCTGTTGGGAACGAAACTGTGGATTGGCTTTCAGAGTAAGCATACCATTGATTCTGGTGTGGCAAAACTGGTCAGAGAATTAGCGGGAAGAGGAAAAGATGTGGATCACACAGACGGGCCCCCAGAGGCGATGATTCGAACAACCGAGGCCACGACTCTAACAAAACAGCCCTCTGGTCCAGATGTAGCCGGATGGACAAATAAGGACGTGAAAAAATGGCTGAAGAAAATTGGATTGGCACAGGTGTGTGACAAAGACATGGCTGAATTCACAGGACAAACATTGATTGAACTTCAAGAGCTCCGAGGAGAATGCCCAGATTATTTTTACAAATGTCTTGAACACACACTTCAGCTTAAGAACATGTTTCATGTACTCAAGTTTAGAAAGGAGTTGGACAAACTGCTGGGAAATTAAATGCGACTGGCAGAATACGCAATTCTTCTCGTTCGCCCAGTTATGGAACAGTTGCGTGTTGGGTGTCGCACAATTCTTTACATTGAAGAGCAGAGCTCGTGTATGACCATGTAGTTCTGGACTGTAAAGAAGACTCGCTCACCAAACGGACACGCTTTCACATGAATAAATTTAGACAAAATGACCCAGTGTACCCCGAGAATAGACTCTTGTTTTTACTCACAATTTGTTTTCAGTCAGTTCGCTAAGGACGTAAATTCAGATGGAATAAGTCGGTGGTTGAAAAACGCGTTGCAACAACCAAATTCAATGTTGACGCTATAGCAACAATATTCGATGGGCAACTTAAGATACTAGAATAAAACCCTCCAAGGTTTAAAAAACCTAGGAAGGTTCTAAGTCACCATAAATTATCGATCAGTCGAACTGGCATTGAACATACTCCAAGGTTTTCTTTAAGATCTAGTGCAAAGATGAATCATATTGAAAAAAATGAAGTCACCGCTTTCGTCATTGAAATACACGCACACTGTTAAGAGTGTTAAAAAAAATCGCATTATCACAGCCTTGACTTCCAAATTTTCTTAAAATCATATACTGCATGTAAGATAGGCTTGCAGAATGCGCACTAAAAAACCTCCGACTTTAGAGGGAACGGAATTAGCGAATAAGTTGTGTCGAGGCTCTTCGGGACATGTCCCGAGTTATAAGGGTTTTCTTTAATTAGAGTTATCAAAAATGACTGTTGAGATAACTCACATAATTGGATGGACCACTAGAAAACTGATGAAAGGGGTGGGGTTTTGGGACATGAAATAACTTTTTTCGTGTGTACTTAAAAATCCGAGGGCAAAACTTTTCTTCTTAATAATACATCGCAAATATTATTTTTGGCTTCAACCCTCGTTTTCACCTGATGTTAGGTATACTGTTACGGTTCGGAGGATCGAAATCTCATTTAGACACTGGCTCAGTGCATCCACGCTTCCCTCTACTGGATCGCAGGCACAGCAAAAGACACATCACTATAGACTGTGTCTTAATAATGTAAAGACAGTCTCAATAATGTAAAGATGGAACTACTTTAATGTTGTGGTAAGCAGCAATGATCATGAGAAAGGCACCAGTTATCATAAATCACTTTTGATAAACACAAACCTTGTTCAACTTGAATACGTTCTCTGAACTCTTCAGAATCAGTTTGTTCCTTGACCATCTCTGCTATGGTCGTATCTAAAAGCAAGGATGCATATCTCCCTTAATCTCTTTTGATTTACCTTGAATCTGAAGTTTTTGCATTTGCATACTACCAGCTTGTCTAGTCTGGAGGGCCAACGATCCTAAAATTGGAGCTTTATGAATTCATTTACAACACATGAAAACCAGCGAAAAAGCCTAAAATTGGATCTTGAAAGCTTTGAAATGCATATTCACATGAAAACCAACAGTTGCAGTCAAACTATTTGATGTGACCCAAAAGGGAGGAAGATAAAAAAGCTCACTGTTCACTCCCGTGGTCACCCTAGTTATCGTTTTGCAACAATGTAAATTTCAGTGGAGGGCAACAGCATGACGTGAAATCAATTACAGTCAAAGATGACAATAATGTGAGAAACTTCAGAATGGTCAGGTTAGAGTAATTATTTCATTCAGTTTGAGGTTATTTGGGAGACTATTCCAGGTTTGTACATTGTCATCATTTCTGGGGATTCTGTATGATGTGCAGAAACATCTTTTAAGTGTATTGAGATTGTCTACCTAAGTAAGCTGGATCTGGCTTTTCTTCCTACTTAGGAATACCCACTTTGTTCTTACAAAAGCAAAATTCCTCTGTGGCCATATATTACATTTTCAAATTGACCTTGCTTGTTTCAAAAAGACGGTTTGAGTTCCTTTTTTTATCTATATTAATTTGGTTAAAAAAAATCAAAGATGATATCAAGCCATACTGCTGAGGAAAGGGTTAGTACATTGATTAGTTAATTATTTGAATAATATTAAAGTGATGATTCCAAAGCACTCAAAAGTATGTAAAGTCCTCGGAAAAGTGCTACAGTATAAATTCTAATGATTAACTTTAAATCAGATCAGACTCATGTCTTACAAGTTACACAGTTACAGAAAAGAATGAACATTTTAAACTCCAGGACCTAGTTGTTCAGAGAGCAGATAATGCTATCTAATGGACAAATCTCTATGAAATAAATGTGTGTTAACAAAACATACTGCACTTTCCACCATATCAAGTGTTATTCAGTGGATATAACATTATCTGCCCTCAAACCACTGGGTTCAGTACAATACACTTCTTCACTCACGAGTTGCAAGAGAAGCTTTTGCTCTTTGCATAAATGGAATCCTCTGAACATACTGTTTCATTTCACCCACTGTTTTGGCACTTTTGTGCTCCTGGTGATGCAAAATGCAAGATAAAAAAGAATCTTCAGCAAAACTCAGAACAGGAGTCACACAAGACATCAAAAGAGCTTACTACTTTTTCAGGGTTAGTTCTCTTTTAGGAGGAGTTTTATTGTTTGTCTCTTGATATAGTGTCAGGCTATTGATATAAATTGATCAGGCAATCAGAAAAACAATAAATCATCTACTAAGTTATTTAACACAATGAATAATAACATATTCTTTAGCAGAGTACTCTTTTACTTTCAACCTCATAAAATTCCATGACTTTCCATGATCTCTTGAGTCCAACACTTGTTTGAATTTTTATGTGAGGAGATTACTATCACTCAAAGGAGGCATTCTTTGCATTGTCATTTTCAGCTAAGAAATTTTCAGTCATTCCCCTTGACTTCCATAACTATCAATGATATAAATCTACCTCCAGAGATGAGTTTTGATTTTACAGTCACAGTAGGATGGAAATGATGTGAATTACCCCTCATATCAGCAAACCCATCATAATAAACAAAAGAACTTAGGTACTAGGTAAAGTCTGTACTCAAGCAAAATGACTCATGCAGCCAGAGTTTATCTCAGTTTCCATTGCATGAAGTGATTAGGAGAATTTCTACTTCCTATGGATGGGATACCAGTCCATCGCAAGGTTACCCCATATCACTTCATAACGCTCCCCTGATAATTTGCTGGTTCCCATTTTTACTTCTGAGTGGAAAGAGGCACAATCCTCATGACCCAGACTCCAGTGCACTTACCATTACCCTACAGCTTCTTCCAAATTTATAAATAAACAAACTGTCTCTAAAATCTGTCAGGTCAGAACACTAACAATAACTAGTTCCCTTCTTTTTTTTTTAACCAATACCTTGGCATTTATCGACCAGATCAGAGGAAGGTAAAAGAAACTTTGAGAAATCATCAAAGATATGTTTTTGGCCATGAACTGACCTCAAAGGCAGCACTAATCTGCTTGGCTTTCCTGCTCAAGTGAATTCCCACAGCAGAGAAATTTAGATCTCGAATATCATAGAACAACTCATCACTGGAGTTTAAAACAACTTTCTTAGGTCCAGTGGGTTGTTGTTGTTGAAGTCCTCCAGGTCCTTTCTCTTCAGTTTGAGGGAATCTCTCGGGTGGAAACTTTGCTGTGGCTTCAAAGAGAAAATACAATTTGTCTGTGACTAACTCTAGCGATTAAAGGGGGTAAGTTTCTAAAGAAACTGTGGTGCTGCGTCGGTGGGAGAGTATAGCAGGTAATTTATTGTTAACAACTGAGTTGAAAACGTAAATTGGTCACCATAAAGAGTGAAAAAACCATGACCAATTTACGTTTTCAACTCAGTTGTTAACACTAAACAATTGCTAGGTATCATAGTACTGTAATAACAGAATCATAAAATAAATTCTATAATTATTCTAGTACTCAATATACAGATATAATTGCCCTTGCATCTGTAATACTTCATCAGCAGTTACTTCAGTTCATCAGGGTGATTGTTTGGTTCCTTAACATCTGCTTGCAAATCTAACAGCAGATTTTCCACTTTATCAGAAGTGATGGAGACAAAAGTGGAATCAAGCAATCCGATTATTCAGACTCCAATTCCATCCAGCCCTAGACTCAATTTTCAACTTAGACTTTGGATTTAATAAGCTACAAGTACATTTTTAGTTGCAACTCCAGCTATAACTCATACTTCAACTTTGTCTCCAAAGAAAATGAGCCTTAACTTTATTTCTTTAAGTAATCATTGAGCAGTCGTAACCTTTAACTCAATGGTACCTACTGTGGTGTATTCCATATAGTTCATCTATCAGTCCTTCATAGGTAAGTTGAGTAAATAATGGAGTGAGTAAGTCAATGTTACGATCAATTAACAGAAGTGTGTCGATTTGGGGTGAGACTTGGTTTTCTGCATCAGCTGCCTCTCGTTTCTTGCGCATCATCATGTCTAAGACTAGCTGTTTACAATAATTAATTGTAACAATTTAATAAGAAAAAGTCAGTGAGAAAAATAATGCATACTACCATTGACTAACAAGCTTAAACCCATATTTTACCTTCGATGACATTAAATGAAACAAAACTATACTCATTTCACTTAACTAACAAAAATAATTGCATTTTAAAATAAAATGGATTGTAAAATAACCCTACAACAAAATTTCACTCTGAGGAACAGAAACATTTTTTATGACTAAAAACTATGACTATTTATTTTAATAACTGTAGCACTAAATTTTGTAGTTACCCTACTTTGTTTCCTGAAATTTTAAAATGAAGTTTGGCCAGTAACACTGAACTTCTACGTACAATTTCACTAAATTTGAAGTCTTTTTAAAAATACAAGCTGAACCAAAACAGCACTGAAAAAATTTAATCTTTGGAAAATGAACCATTATTGAGGCTTTACATCAAAAATAGCTCTATATGTGATACAAAGATACCTTGAGGAATAAGTATTTACTGTCTTACAATTTTACCAGTACATTATTTGATCAATGTAAGAAATGCACCTCTAATTTTCTTTTGACAGATTTTTCAAAACACTTATCTTTATCTATTTATATTTACCATGATCAATAAATCAGTATGGCTCTCACCTTTGACATATCTCCCTTTGCATAAATCTTAGGGATTGTGCCATACAATGTTTGAAGTGTCATCAAGGAGTTGGCAACATAAAATAATGATGTGGAGTCATTTTCCAGGTAACACTCCTGCAAAACAAATTGAAAAAATTTACAAATAGAGAGAAATTTGATTGCACCTTCTCCAAACTAACAAACTTCATTACTTGCAATCTTTGCAAATAGCTATAGATTGGCAAAGCAAGAAGATTATTTTGGTGCTTGCTTTCACAAACACTTGTGGGATGTTTGAAAATACTACAAAAAAAATGGATCTAAGCCAATTTTTAAAAAATTAAAAAACTCAAATTAAGGGGAGTAACTTACCAACTTTCAGTTATTTATTTAGTAATAGAATGATTAAATTTCTGCAGTTTACCTTGAAGCTGGACTCCATCTCAAGTGACAAGACATCACTGTCCAATGGTATAAGCTCTAGAGGATATTCATCGATGTTGATAAAAGATACCTTCCATTCCTGAAAACAAAACAGCGCTATAAAATATCAGAACGTACCCTAATGTTTCCAGCACACATCCACATACCTTTTGAATAAACTAAAAGTTTTCAACCAACTGGATGTGCTGGAAAATTACAGTGCAGGTATCTCCTTGAATAAGTATCCATACCCTCTCCTAAACACCAACCCCCTTGATTAAATTGGGCATACAGTAAAAGTTGTTCCTATTGTCACTCACAGCTTTGGATTAAGAAAATATGAACAACAACAATTATAATAACATCACACTCTTGCATGTGTTAAGATGTGACATATTTATTTTAAAAAAATTATACAACTAGTAAACTTACCTCAAGTTTCCTTTGACATAACAAAGTCTTTCTTGGAACAAAAAGGATGGTGAACTCTTTTTTCTTGCTTTCAGTCTTGCCTTCCTCACTGAATAACAAAGTGAAACAATTGGCAACATTTGATAATTAACCTTCCTATTGGCCTATCAAACTTCAATGTTTTGATGACATAACTGCAAAGTTTTCCCACCCATTTGGATGAAGGTTTTGCATTTCCTGCCCACTTGAGAGGGTTTTTGCAATTGTGGATGATGATCAGCAATAGCATTTGAAGTCAACAAATAGAGCAGAAATTTCAACTGTGGCATACCACTATCCACCAACTAACACATTCAAGTGAAAGCTCTCGTACAGCTCCATTCACTTACTGACAGAGGTTGAAAGAATGTTGTTCATAAATGCAAAGACAGTATCAAAAATTAAGAATGAATAGTGCCACAATTTTAAAGTTTTTCTACCAAAAATGTTGAAGTTTTGAAGTTTGGTAGAGCAACAGAACATGTTTTTGTCACATTCATGGAAAGGTTGATGCTATCAACCATAGTACTAGTATTTAATTTACTGCACTTAAATGTAGACATGAGGCCCTCATGTTGACATTTTGATCCTCTGTGAGAAAAGTGTTTGTGAATACTCCTTTCAAATTTTATACACTCTAGAGCTGATAGGTAATGAGAATTAAGATGATTTTCAACTAATGACATTTTCTCTGGACAAAAGACAGTGTGAATACTTTCATCTACTGTGTACAGTGGAAATAGCTTAATCTTATGTGGACAGTGTTGATAGCTGAATCTAATCAAGACTTTGCAGGCAGACTTTAAAGATGAGGTTATGATTGACTATTTGATGTTAAGGGTATACTTTGTAGAAAGCTGTACAAGACTGTATACATGTATGTTAGACACTGTAGAAAGCTTTACTTACTGCTTACAGAGAAGATAGTTATATCGTTATATCTACAGGAGACAGAGTAGATTATTTTAAATACCCTTGATCGTCTGAGTGTGGATAGTGAGAGTTTTGAATATATATTATTTAAGTACAGTACATATGAATTTTTTGACAAAGTGATAATCTGCTGTCTAAGAATGAAGTACATATCAAAATTGTTCACATGTTTTAATTTTCAACTCAACTGAACATTTTCTCTTTGAGAGTAAGTTAGAACTTCAGCTTACCTTAGGACATTATCAGCAATTATGTCCATCAATGAGGGTTTAGGTCTTGTGATAAATATAATGTTATGCACTTGTGATGGAGGTAAGCGCCCAGGACGAAGAGGGAACATGACTTCAACTTCATGTTCCTGTGTTAATTAGAAGAAAAGCACACATTATGGAACAACCTCAAAATCCACCAAGTATTCATATTTACAATTTATAATAACATATTATGAACAAAACACTCAAGGCAAACATGAAAACAAGTGCTCAATTTTAACTGTTTTCACATCTTTAAGTGAGGAGATAAGACTCTAAAAGTCTTCATTTTTTTCCATTTTTTTGTTTAATACATTGGTTTCCATGTCAGAGCAACTTTCTTTGTAACTTTTTTGTTGATGGAGAAACATGAGAAAATGTAATCATGATGTTCCAATAATTACAATGACTGCAAAGGTTTACAGTCAAGTTAATATAGGATTAGCTTGTATCTGCTGAATTTTAGTTCAGGTTTAATTTCTTCGTTTAGGACAACATGATCCATTCATTTTGATTGCTTTGCTACATGTTTTGTATCAATTCCTTTAGTCAATGAAACAAATTAAGCATAAAAATACACTCTTTCAAATCACAGGTTGGTTTATGTTAGTTATGTATGTCTCGCTGAACTTTTAAATCAAGTAGCATCAGGTGACATCTTACTGTTAACCCTTTAACTCCCATTAGTGACCAAGGCAGAATTTCTCCTTACAATATCAATACAATATCAAGCAGACAAGTGATGAGAATAAAGGAAAATATTAATTAGGGGATTATTGCTTGATCCAATACTGAATTCTCAAAAGAAGAACTATATGGCAGACAGTAAGGAGAATTACTACTGAGATCTTGGGAGTTAAGGGGTTAAGGATGGGTAAGGTAAGAAAATACACCAAAATGTTGTTTGATTGGAGGGTACCTTCAGTGGTTTCTAAAAATAAGCCATTTTGATGTTTTACAAGTGATAAGGAAATCTGGCAACTTGACTTTTTATTTCAGGTGACATGACTCAGGTTTCAGGTGACATGTCTTTGGAGAGATGACTTCTGGGTGACTTGACCAGTTACTACTGCAAGATAGACTGAGATGTTTTGCCAAATGCTATCTCTTCTACCACAATTTTAGTTAGAAAAATAAATGAGTTGGAATATCATTAAGTCATACCTTTAATAGCTTGTATTCAGCAATCAAACCAAACGGCCCAGTAAGCTTGTCGTCCCAAACCAGAGCCTGTTGCAAAAAGCAAAAAAAGAGTATATAATTTTAAAAAGTTTCGTCCAAAATTAAAGGTCAATTCTAAAACTTTCATTCCGATGACTTAAAGATCAATAGTCTCCTTAGATACTTTCTGACATACATTTGATGAAAGTGTTGAGAATTAATTGTTAAATCAAGCAATATTATTCCTTGTTTATCAAAATGTATTTATAATATTGTGGGGAGAGTTTAATTGCAGTTCACTCCTGGTAGTAAAATTGTTTAGTAAGGAATCATTCAGCAACTACCGGTTGGAAAAGCCTTGACCATCATTTCCAAGAAGGATCGATATTCAATCAAATCTACCAGATGGTTTTTCGCTACCTTAGATCCAGGCTGTTTATTCAAGCACTGAAGAAGTTCCCTTCTCGCGCATTCGCGCAGCAAGCCCACATTAACTCGACCATTCGATAGGTGGCTTCCTCCGGTGGCCGCCATCTTGAATACATATAGTGTACACTATGTGACGAGAGAGATGAGTGAACTTCCTTTTACTTGTACTACCGCTGGATATTAAGCGCCGATGAGGTAAAAAGCGATAAAAGGGTTAGGAATATTTCGACTGTTTATGAATGGCTTTCTTCCTTTTTCACACAAGGCTAGCAAGATTGACAGGATTTACTGGCAAAAGAGCTAGAGTTTTTCCTGATTTGATGTCAAAATATGGACTTGTTAGAACAGTAGTGACGAAAACGAAAGGCAATTCAAACACACTTCTAATTGGATGGCGCCCTCCATGGAATCCGAAATTACTTTCAGACGTGAAAGGGTTTTCCTCAAAATCCTCAAGTATGAAATCAAGAATTTTACAAGGGTTTCGATATTTTTGCTTGGCTGGTGGTGTAGTATTTTGGTCGTGCGTTGCTGTTTCCTTGACGTTAAGTGCGACCGGATTGTTAACATTTGGGATCGAGGAGGAGACAGTACAACTAAAGCACACAAACCCCCATATGGCAAAACACATAGCGTCCATGTTTCAGTTATATGACGATCCCGAAGATTTATTAGATGTGACGACTCTTATGGAAGACAAAAAAGATGAATACGCTTTGAAGAGAGCGGCTTACAACTCAACCTGGAAAAAGCTGTCAAATGAAGAAGGTTTCCGAACAAAGTTTGGAGACGAGGTGCTTGTGATAGGGTATAACCGCCAAGAAGTCTCTTTAATTGAAGCACGTGACAGAACAGGAAAAGAAAATGTTCACAAAAATGAAGACAGATGGAAAGTGTGTGTTTTCATTGTTGGTTCTAAAGTATCTGGTCTGGTGACGATGGAATTTCACAAAGTGACAAAAGGTGAAATCAAGTGGGTCCCTGTGTCACTTTCTGTGGAAGAGATACCAAGATCAGGAATTAAGATCTGTGATGTGTCTGCTCCTCTTCCCAATGGTGTCTCAAAATTTACCAGATTCATGAATGATGACTTGTGACTTCTATTTTCGTGTAGTGCCTTGACAGACTAGACCATAGTTATGGGGGGCTGGTGACAGGTTAGGGAAAGGAAAACAAAATTAAATATGTAAACACATATGTGTAAACACATATGTAAACAATGGTACTACAGTTTATTTTGGGAGCCCTATGGTGGGGTCCAATCTTTGGTTTTTGTTTCTGTAACCCTAAGCATGTTGTGACAATTCACTGGTGGGAAGTTTCTGTTGGTAAGATGATTCAGGATTGGTGGCATATAATTGACCAGGTCTAAAACCTCCATTGAAAACAGATGACATAGAAATCTGTTGTATTTTAAATGTGGTCTCCTCTACTAATGGTGGTTAGGCAATTAATCAATTACTCTGGAGGTTGATTGGAAAGAGGCATCAATTGACAAAATGCTAGTCACTAGCATTCAGCACTAAAAATGCTTGGAAAAACAGCTATTGAAAAGAGCTGTCTATTTTTATAGGTAACAACATAACTGCAAGTGTAATTTGGTGTTAATAAGTGGACCCTGTTCAATATTATCTGGTCTAAAAGCCTAATTAAACATTAGGAAGAAGTTAATCTTACAGCTCACTCCCAAAAGCAAAGAGGTATTTTTTTCATTTAGAAACTGCTGATCTGTGAGCCAGTAAATTTGACTCAGATTCAGATATGCCTCAGTTTTGGAGTTGATCCAGTGAGCTGGTAATTTCTTGCATTATTTTTCCCACTAAATCATTAAGTTGATGCCTCAACAAATAGTGTGATGACTCAAGAAGCTAACACAAACATTCTTCATAATGCATTACACCTCTAACTTAACCAGAAAGAGTGAACAAGACAAGCACCCTTTCTTGGTATGAAAATGAAAATAGTAATGATAAAACCCAACTCCATCTTGTATTATGCATTTTTCTTAAATTGGTCTTACAATTTTATTTCACTTTTCAAGGAAAAATAATACTTTGTTTATCTTAGAAAAAATATATTTCCTTGATGTAGAGACTCAAAAGCTTTCCCTATGCTCAGCATCATACTACCATGAAACTTGAGGGAAACCAAGCTTAATGATAAGGACTGTTTAACACTCAAATATATCCAACTTTAAAAATTATAGGAAAATTGAGGTTCTAAACCAGTATTTATTTTAAAAAACCCTCAAATTATTTGAAAAAGAACACTGTTAGAACAAAACAACACCAGCAGTAAAATATTGCCTTCGCAATGAAATATCAGTTAGAACTACCCAGCCAGAGGAGTGCAACTTATAGTGAATTGCTCCCTGTACAGAACCAGAAATAACTGAGAGAAATCTGCAAGGTGTCTTGCACTCTGCTTTTCCTTTTGAGTGAGTTTAGACACTTATGTCCAGTTAAGGACATTGTCATCTGTTTCCAATACTTTCCCCTAATTTCAGACACTTCCTTATCTTTTGGGATGTTTCTGTCTGATTTTAAACACTAGTATCTGATTTCCGACAGTTCAACCTTGCTGAACTTTATCCATAAATGAATCAAAGTAATCCCAACACACTTAGTCAGTTTTCCTTTATTTCACTCTTTTCCCATCTTTAAGTTATATAATACAAAATATTGATACTAGGATGAAGTTAAGGTAACATTGAAAATGAAAAAGGTTCCAAGACAGTAGGAATTGCACACACTCCTGAGACTAAACTAAAAAGTCATTCTTTACAATGACATGAGCAACATGTAGCTCAGGAAAAAAGGTTGAGAAGGCAGAAAATGGCCCCTCAAAAAAAATTGTGCATTAAATGGAAAAGGGTAAATGTGAAATAAGAAACAACAGGTGTTCTACATTTAAATGTCTGAACTTCACAACAATACTTTTCTTCTGTAGTTAAAGGTAATTCATATCAAGTTAGGGTATGCAAGGCTACTTATTTTATAACTAGAAAATACCATGGACTGTGAATTTCTGAAAGTATACAATTTCTTCTTGTATAACACCTGGTATATTGGGTAAACTTAAGAAACCCTGCGCAAGCTAGGAATTACACCACTTGAAGTAAGAGATTTCAATTTTTGGAAAATTTTAAGCTATCACTTACAATGTTATCCATGCTACATTTTAGCTGGAAAGTGAACAGTTTGTTGAGAAGTAATTCTCAAGCTGGGTTCCCGATTTTCTTAAGATAAGGGCTTGACAGATTCATACTAAATTGTCAACAGCAAAACCCATAAATATTGAATTGTTCTTATATCAACAAAAAGCTAAGGGAAGCTGAACAGTTATCTACAATTTACAAAAATCAATTATGGTTTGTATTAAACTTGTGACCAAAGTTGACAGAATCATACAGGAAAATAAATAAATTCTGGGTTTAATTTAATGATTAGTACAATGAGATGCCAAATTTTTCTTTAGGAATTATTTCCAGATAATGAGATTTCTATCACATCTACAATGTTAGTGACTAGTTGATACCAACTGGTGAGAATCACATCTAAGCCCCTAATTAACCTGCTCAGTGAAAAAACACTAGACCACTACCTACTTCTTGCAAGCAAAGTAAACTTAACTAATATGCATTGTTTACTGGCCATATTCAAGCTATTTACAAGTGCAGCTGTGCATGATATTTTTCTAGTGATATACTTATTTTTAAGTATGTCACCATAAATTCAACTGTGGGCATGGTGAATGAATTAGACATTCAATACAATACTTCTTTGCAAATATTGTCATATTGGAAGGTTTGACTGCAAAAAAAGTACAACAAAAGTTATCTTTTGCACAGTGACTAATGCACTTTAATGACCATCACCCTCCCTCATTTGTTACATTAGTTATAACCTTAGCTATCTCTTCTTTTTTGAACTGTCAGTGAGTGTAAGGACTCGTACTAAGTATAAAATACAGAAGAAATATCTACTAGCATGATATCGCTACTGATGTATTGCAAGAATCTAGAAAACAATGCAAATTAAAAGACTATATATTGACAAATGCATTGGTGTTGGTTGCTTTCTCATTTACAGTTACATTCATCAACTTGCCCAACACCAATTCAGTCACTCTTTCATTCGATGTTATCTCGTTTCTTTTTATAATCACTCCACATAGTTCTTGATAATCTTTAGAGCAACTTGATCAACCAAACAAGAGTATTATGACAGTTACTACTTGGTCAAAGAAAAATTTCAAATTGTTACAATAAAGTGTTTAGAGAGAAACACTTGGATATGCTGTGGTATTTTGTCTTTGGCACTTTAACATAAACAATCAAAATATTAAATAGACAAGAGTTGTTATCAGTTGTCTGACTTACAATGTCAAGTTCTTATTGACTGTCTAGTCATAAGAGCAGTAAAAAGGAACTTATAGAATAAGAAAGAAGGCAAATTTTGAGCATGGTGGTGGGACAGAGAAAAATAATGTTTGTGTTATCAAGAACCCTGGACAAAGAAAAACTCTGAATTTCCATGCAAAATCAAACCCCAGTCCTTTGCAACTTATGCAAAATCATCATTCAACCTCCTGTAGGCTTTTGCCTTTTGAGCTGGTTTTTTTACTGTGTGTTCCTATCTGTACCTTTTTACTTTGTTTGACTGGTCTTCCTTTGATCATTCCATAGAGCACACAGGTGATCACCATCACAAACAAGAAGTAACTTGAGTACTGCAGTCTTAGATTAACAGTTGATACATCAACCTGAAGAAAAGAAAATGATTTGTTGACAAATATATCATCTTCCTCTGTTTTCATGAAATCCTTCAAAAATTCTCAGCACCAAAAAGTTATGCTTAACAGATTAAACCTAACATCTACCTCAACTAAAATAGACTTCTGTTTGGATTTTGCAGCTAAAATTAAAGATATAATTGTGCAGTTGTCCATGTGATAGTGGTCCTAAGGACAACTGCAATGGGCAGTGATCCTTCAGAAATTTGGGTGGATCTGGTCATTGTTTCTCACTGTACATGGTGACAAATGAACTTCACAGGATACCCGAGCTCTAAAACCAATACTTTGACAACTGCTTACCATTGCCATTGTTGAAATAGTGGTGTGCTGCTGATTCAGTGGAAGAGATGTCTCAGCCTTGATGCCACCGGAACAAAATTTTTCATCATGCGTGGTAATGCTGACCATTTCTACAACATTGTACTCTGATGAAAGGTTGCAAGTCCTCCCATACCTGAATTAGTATGAATGGTAAATTATTTAGCTTGTTTCTCAGCAGAGCCAGAAGAGTTTACACTGGTTATACTGGACTATCCTACACAATGTTTAAAAGTAGCAGCTCATCTTGCAAGGATTCTAGTTTTCTGAAATTCCACTGATTACCTTCAATTTCAAAGTTCAAACTTGTTTGAGTGATTGACTGAGGAGAATTTACAGGATTTGAAGCTTTTCTAAATGAATTTTCTGAACGAATATGGAAACATTTGAGGCATTGTGGTATGTGCAAATACTGTATCTACATAATGAATCAAAGTTACTTACTGCAAATGTTTTGGGACAATCTCAGTTGGAACAATAACTGATCCACAAGCTTCCAAATACATTGTTTTACATTTGTCTTGGCAATCTGAAAAGTAAAATATGAACTTTACCCCTCCAGAGTAAATGATGTGATTTAAGAACAAGCACCTTAAACCTTTGTTAAAAAAGTCTAACCTTTATTCTATAAAACTTTTAAAAACTGTATTCACAGTATATATATATATATATTCTTAAAAATAAAATCCCCTCTGATGAGTGTGCAATTATGAAACAGGCTTGTAGGGATGAAATTATAGTGTCTCTGTTTTTTTCCCCTATTGCAACATACATCATGCTCTACTTCTACATATCGAGCACAGTAAAACAGAAAAATCAATACACAGACTTCCTATATAATTATATATATTGAGTCTAGAGACAAAAACAAATGATTATAATACAGTTACTCCACCTAACCTATCAGCAGAACCCCAGCTCATTAATTTTTACTGGTCCTCTCTCATCACCCAAGGTCACCTCAAGTCATAGCTTCTCAAGTATAAGAACGGAGGCTTTCATGTGAGTGCCTTACATGCTGAAGCTCTTTTCATCTTAACATGTGCTCAGTGTAAATAGATAATCCAATCAGAAGAATACTATTGGGTGATGACCATGCTACAATGAACATTTAACATACCCATGAACCATGGTTGATGAAAAAACAATGTGACATTGATCACTGAATTCCCCCAAAAACCTAATGACAAGAAAGCAACAATAAATGTTTGATACTCTAAAGCCCTGCAAACTACACAACTTCGAGTGTCAAAAGTAATCTGGGTTGATAAAGGGGTAAGCTTCTAAAGAAACTGTGGTGCTGCGTTAGTAGGGAAGTGTAACAAGATAATTTGGTTTCATCAACTGAGTTGATAATGTAAATTGGCCACCAGAAAGAGTTTCAAAGCTGCTGTTTCAAGCAGTAACCCTTTAACAGAGTGAATGACAGAGGACTAATGCTCAATAATTAAATGTGTTTGGTTAAAATTAACCATTTTCTACCTTATTCCAACAGTTTGTATCTCCATAAAGCTGTCTGTAACAAGGATGATCACTTACAAAGCTTTATCATCATCAATTATATCAAAATGAAGAATTTATTTCCAGAGTACTAACCTTTTAAACCCAATTCTGATGTTGGTATTTGTGCTGTAACATGTGTGACATTCTTCACTACAGCACTGAAATTAACCGAGGGGTTCACAGCCAGATGAAGCACTGGTACAGATACTGTGGTAAACCCATCAGGTATAGCACCAGTTATATTCGTTGAATTGTCACCAGTGATATTTCCAGAGAAGCTCTGGTCACCAAACATACAAAATTCAGAGGAACTCAAATAACCTAGCACTGATCCCCATTCCTACGATTAAAAAAAAATTTATAAATGATCAACCACTTAATTACAATCACAAAGCTTTCCATATTTTGGGCTCTTCTGTTACACAAGTGCTTATCAGTATGGTTTTTATTGGAAAAATATGTTGAGGTTGACTTTGACAAAGGACCTGATACAATCAGAGGCTCCCTGAGCGCAACTTGTTTGATACAGCAGAAGTAAGATTCACATTTATCTTTGAGATAACAGGTGTGTTCTGGGTGAATTTGCAATTTGGTAGCAATAGCCCACCTCTAAAACCTGGAAATGAAAAGGTAGGCTTACCAAGTCTACTCTACATTCACCTTAAAAACCAAAATGGATTTCTTGGCAATTTCATTGTTTAACCATGTCACACAAATGACTTATTTGTTCTGATTTCCTCATCATCACATAATGTTCCATGAAAAAAAAACAAATAAAAGGCCCTTTGGTCTGTCAGGATGATGAGAGAGAGAACAGGAAGGGGATATCATTAAGTTCTCTAGCATGGAACAATAGCAATGGATGAAAGGCTTGATCTGTACACCCGCCATCCTTCAGGTCACCCAGTTCTACATTTTTCACAATACTTCAGTGGCTATTCAATACTGCCAAAAATGAGTTGTTAAAATCTGCACAGCATCAGAAGGATGTCTCAAAAATTAATGAAAAAGTTTACCAAGGACCACAATCAATGGCGAACATTTCACAGGTTTCAATGCTATCTGGTGATTTCGCCAACGAGTGATTTTACCAACGTCACATTCGCCAACGTCTTAGGTCGCTTCGCCAAAGCGAAAAGTCCTACTGGTCACGTCCTACTGATCCCTTCGCCGATGTATTAGTTTACTCTAAATATAAAAATTTACCATTACTTCTTCTTGCTTCTGTGTGTTATTTATTTGACTGAGCTGACTTGATTTCCCCGTTCGAACTTAGTTTCCTTCCATTATTTTGTTCGGACTTAGTTTCCTTCTCTTGTACGCGCAACTTAAAACACAGTGGGCCCATATAAATGCACGGCACGCCACGCGTCACCGGCGCTGTATGTTGCTGAATTTAACTTAGAGCAATAAAGTCGCATGTGTGCAACCTTTTCCTTAAGTTCTTCTATAAGGTTTATTTGTCGATAACAGAGATTTATATAATTACCTTTGAGACTTCTAGAACAGAGATTTATATAAATACATTGTAGACTACTACTACTACTAATTCTATAACTCCAGCCCATATTATAACTTTGATCAAGAGTATATAAGTATTACAAGAAACACAGTCAAGAAACACTAAGTTATTACTAGATATTTGGCGTTGGCAAAGTGACCAGTAGGATGTTGGCGAAGCGACTCATCGTGTTGGCGAAGCAACCAAAGACATTGGCGAACGTGACGTTGGCAAAATCACTCGTTGGTGAAATCACCGCAATTCGTTTCAACAAGGGAACGGTGGGAATAAAAACTCTGAAAACTTTTGATGGTATGCTAGTGTGAAACTGATACATGCTTTGAGGAAGTCTAAGGGATTTTGTTCTTTGATAACATGAAGGTCACTCACATAATTTCCTCATTCGTTATCACAACTTATAAATCACAATTAAAATAATTCACGACAAGTACTGAAAAATTGTGTTTACAATGACCCTCCCCTCCCCGTTCAATTCCTGGCGTGACATCCGTGTCAGAAAACAGTTATGAGGAAGACCAGACTTACGTTGAAATCTAACAAAAATTTATATGAGGGGATATGGAAAAAAAAACAAACTGCAAACCTCTTCGCGGGCATCAGCGGTGTCAAACCAACCATATGTCTTAATGAAAAAGCCAAGAGAAAATAAACCAATGGCGAAGGCCGCTATACAAACTATAAAAACAACACATGGCGGTCGAGCAATGGCGAATCCAAATAAATTCTTTCCACCCTTACAATCGACCATATTTCTAGGCTTTTGACTCCCTCTGTCTTCCTCAAGCTACAGACTTGGAGAGAACAAAGAAAAAATTGCAGGTGTTATTACAGTTCAAAGCGTACACGTAGTCATTAGCGGACTGAGACGCAATCAAGTTTCAGGTGCAAAAGCCATCGAAAGTCGTTGAATTTACCTAAATAGAGAACTATTCAGTCGAAAATGGGTAAAAAATCCACCGCCACTGTAATGGACAGTGAAATGTGATTTTTCTGAGTTTCTACATCTGCGATTTCAGGGAGAAAATTGCTGTTTCGCTTGCCAACTACATGCCGCCATGTTGACTTACTTATGAGCTTAGTATCCGCGCCGATTGACATATGCAAGCCCATCAAGTATCGAGTTCGGCATCAATCATGTTGACGTGTCACGCCAAACAATCTTTCTCACTAAGAATTTTTCATTTCCATCCGAATCAAACAAACGCAAAACTAATTTAGAAAAAAATTTTTGAAAAATTCTTAAAGCTACACCCTGCACAATGCATGTATTTTGACAGTACTAGGGTCATGGTCATTTCAAAGGACTCATCTTGCGGAGAACGCTGGTAGTCGATCGTTTGTTGTTGGTTTGGAGAGCACCGTTAACCTGAAGCATGTGATAGTAAAGTATATTTTTGATAACCTGAGGCGAAAACACAAAGAGAGAGGGAGAAAAAACAACGAATTATGCCTTCGATTGTTACTTAATTCCAAATGGTAATGATCGGCGTAGATCTAGTTCTAAAATTTTCTCATTAAACAACTTGTTTACTCACGTAGCGACTTATTCTTCTCTTTGATGCACACCAACTAAAAGTTAAAAATGTAGTGCTATGATGTTTGTCAAACTTGTCAGAAGCAGGAAAAAAGTATTACTTAAAAAAAAGGCTCTTAGTTCCGGAAAAGGCTTTTTCTTTTTCATGCTAGTATTGCATGTATCATCTTTCAAAAAGTTTATGTTTTGAAAATTATATTTAAAAGACGCAGGGAGTCGGTGAGAGGAGAATAGACTATCTTAAGGGTGTGTTTGTGTACATGTGAGATCGAGGCTTAGCCACATGGATCTCAGTTGGGGCCACGTGGTTTTCAATCCCTGGTTTCTGATTGGATCAAACTGTCCGAGCTGTCAATCATCTAAGTAAATTCTACGTTCCAGCACTTTGAGAGCTTTTGTTCCGTCAGTGTTGTTATTAGTGAAGAGTGCACATGGATTGAGCGACGGCGAGTGGGAAGGGATACGCATTGCGCTGCTACAGATCCTTGCAAGGAATTTTCTAGTTTCTTTTATTCGCGTTATGAGTTTGGACACGTTACTAGAAGCCGCCAAGTTCGTAGAATCTTCTTCTCGAGGATCATCTAAGGACGATTCGGCAATCGCACGTGGTACGGTCGAGTAGCCATGTGCAAATATTCTGTTGGTGTGAAGGCCTGTGTTAAAATTCTTTCTACGATCACGACAATTTTCCGATGACAATGTATTTGGTCTCTCTTTATGCATTCTAGTTCACTCTCCCTCTGTTCACACCGAAAGGAGAAGAGCTATTTCGGAATGCGAGCCCCTTGAAAGACGACGAAGACCTGGAGGGTAAGTTCATGTAGATGCTTGCCGCTCTGAGAAAGCGGTCACGGTGTCAGTTTGTTATGCTGGGCAAGATTTTCAAGAAATCTGTTTTCCCTTCTAGGGCCGGGACTAGAGAAACGCACAACAAACTAGAGAAAAACAGGTAAGTGATTTCTCAAGTTGAATTCATAACATTGTGAGGGAACCAGATTTTAGTTTATCTGCACGCGAAGCATATTCTTCATATCATGGCGGTCGTGTTAACTTGTCTGCGCCTTGTACGCGGAGCTATGAAGCTTTGACTGTTGAACTTTGTATCTCTTATTCTTCCCTACTTTCTGAAAGCAGGATATTCTTCCTATTTGTCAGATTACTACAAGTACAATTCTTTACTGCGTGATCTGATGAGGTTATACACATAAAGTACCGATATAAGCTTAGAGATGAGAAAAATTAAGCTGAAAGTTGAATTTATAATTGCTTATTTTATTTGCACATCCAGACGTGCGCACTTGAAAGAATGCTTCGATATCTTGAAAAAAGAAGTCCCTTCACTGGAAGATAAGAAAACATCAAACCTAAACATCTTGCGAAGTGCGCTCAAGCACATACAGGTGAGGGGACTATTATTAATTTTCCTCAATCGAACGTCGATAGGTAGTATAGTTTCTTGAGATATGGTTGGCAACTGTTCTGTCTGTATAATTTGAATTTGAATAGCTATTGACTTTATTGAACCTATTGTGCAAGATGCGAACAAGTTCAGGCAGAGCAAGCTCTGTGTCTCAGACGAGTTCACATCGAACATGATAAAGTAAAACATATGTGTCTAAATATACATTTAATGTACAAAGTCCGTGTTAGAGATGAAATACTGTGTCAATCGCTGGTTAGTGGCCCAAAAAATGTGTGATTAGTGCTTGTGCATCGTTATTAGTAACTGCTCTTTCTCCTAACCGCTGCATTAAATTTTACGTTTACTCTACACCCACTCAGTAGAATATCAAAAGTATTACGTTACCGCAGATTTGTTTGCCAATAGCTAGTCAGATTTTTTGAAAGTAAATACTTAACTTTGTTGTGGTCGGCATGGAATTTTGTCCCACGAGAGTCACGAGTTCCGGCGTCTTTGTGTTTTCATTTTCACGGTCGAGTAATTTTTGTCTCCTTTTGTCAATTCGGCGATCTGATGACTGAAAATTTCCGTGCGTTTGATGTTTCAAGGCTAGCTTAAATCCCTCGAACCCAGCTGAGTTGCAAGTAAACCCAATCAGACGATCGGAGGAAGCCAGTTAATTTTTGGAAGCTAGAATGGTTATACTATTGTCCAACTAATGTAATTACTCAGCAGAATTCCATTACATGGCTTTATTTTAAAATTTATCTTTCCAGTTATAAGTTGCAAGCCTCAATAGGTAACCTCTGCCATGAATTTGTTTTCCTTTGAATGTCATGCTTGCAATTATACTGAACTTAAGTCTTCATAACTTCATTTGAAATGAAACCAGTGAAACTCTCGTTGACAAGACAGGCAAATTAACGAAAAACTGTTTGAGGTCAGTTTTTAATTAATGATCATGTGAATTAAAACTCTGTTAGCAACACCTAGACTTAAACAGCTCAGGAGAAACTCAAAATGTTTTTGTTTTCATTTTGGACCCTTTGTGTCAGCTACAAACCTTTGAACAAAGGTTCTGTGTCTGAAATGAGAAAAAAATGTGAACAATGTAATTTAACAGGAATTCAATAGAAAATGTCATTATATTATTGGCATATAACTTCTACATAGAACAATTATACTTATGAACATTTAACAATTCGTCACAATAGATTATTAAGAACTATTGTGGTCTCTAAGAACATGTCTTAAGAATCTAAGCGTTGATCCTCTTTGCTTTTGGAAACCTTAAGCATTTGATATTGGTGTTTGTTTATTTTAATCTGATTTCAAGGTTCTTATGTTCAAGAGACCTTTTTGTTTACAACTAAATTATTTAAGTTCCCAAGATAAAAACAAAAAACTATCTCTTTGCAGTATTGTTTTGCCAATTGGATCAGTGCAAGCTCACAGCAGCTTAGCAGGTGTATTATTAGGGGTAACAAGATGTAAGCAGTTGAAATTTAATTTTATGGGATGATGGAAGAGAAAAATCAGGTTTTGGCCTCAGTGAACATGTTTTCAAAATTTATGTGAAGTATAAAGCTTGAATGAAAACAAGAACAGGAGTGATTATGCTTTCATCAATGGAGGGAGGTATTTTAGAGGAGAAAAATTATCACAGCAACTCTATTTATGAAATGCTATGCTTGAAATAAGTGTCAAAAAGTAAATAATACAGAATATTTCTTTGTGTGACAGATTTCCTTTTCTCGGTTTTGACTGATTATTTTGAGTGAAATTATAGAGAAAAGTGCAGTACAATTGGCTTAGTATATCAAAACTTTCTTTCCTTCAAAAGGAGTAGAGAATTTGATGCCATTTTCTGTGAAACATAAATTTCAAAAAGTTAACAGGTTAAACCCTTAAACTCCCACGAGTGACCAAGACAATTTCTCCTTACAATATCTAAACAATATCCAGCAGATGAGTATTTAGGGAAAGAAAAATATTTATAAGGGGATCATAAATTGATCTAATATCCAATCCTCCAAAATATCATCATGAAAATTGTATAGCAGACAGTAAGGAGATTTACCATTGAGATCTTTGGAGCAAAGGGATTAATGGAATGAAAAGATCATATTAAGTATGCTTTCAGAGATCTCCCTGTATACCTAAGTTGTCTTTAACTGTGGATTCCTGTATGTAAACTGTCCAAGCTGACCACTTCCAGCAGTGGTGTTTCTTCCTCTTCAATGTAATGAAGTATTTTTGAAAAAAAAATCCTCCAGAGAGGTTCAGTAGGTTTCACCTACCTGGTGGATTATGAGGGTATACTCTTCTTATAAATAGTGAATAAGTTAGTATGTACTTTCCTTTATCCTGAGTGAAAATTTCCTCTGCTATTCAGAAACAGCTTAAATCACATTTTTAAACCTGTGAGAAATGAAAGCTTCAGTGTGAGATTGTAAGATTTAATCCTTTTGTGTGATGCATAAGCACCTAAGGTTAAATCTGTATGTTTGATGTGTTAATTGAGAGCCCTTCCCTTGCCTTTCAACATTGACTCCTTTTCATGCAACCCAATTTTCACTATTATTCATTTTAACAGGGAGGGGGGAGAATGAGTCAATAATTGCAATGTAGGCATCAGTTAGGCTTGAGTTCTGATGGAGGATAAATTGTTTTCTTCTTTTACAACTCCAAATATGAGACCAGTTAGGTAGATGAAGCTCAAGAATGACTTCAAAATGACACACACTAATTTGGGAATATTAACTTCCATCTCATCCAACTCCTTGTTAGGAAAAATTTAATGGAAGAACAAGACATGGTGTTAAGGGTTTTGTAGGATACTGATCAATACATCTTGAATTTAAGAAAAAGAAAAAAAAAAAAACTTTCTGAATTCCAAACATCCTTGGTTGATTGTCTGTGGAACAAGAATTTTTTGCTGTGATAGCCTGGACTGGTGCACTTGAAAAAAAATATAACATAACATTAACTCAATCATACACAAAAATAGAAGGTTTATGTGAATCATTGTATATTAGCCCAGATCTTTGGTTGTTTAAGGGAGAACACTTGTAGTAAGTTTGAGTGTTAATCCTTCAAGTTACCTTTGGAGATATTTAGAATTTGGTCTTTGGAAATTTTGGAACATCTTCTGTAATGTCTGGATGTGGGCATATCACAGCAGGTTCTTAACATCATATCTTTAACTTGAAAAAAGATAGCATTTATTCAGTGAGTAATAGGGAGCATTCAGCTTCAGAAACACTGACTTTATCTGCTTAATGTATGTTAACTGTTTTAAAAAATGTTGCATTTATCTTTCTTGAAATATGATGATACAACAGGAACTACTACATTTGGCCATGAAATAAATACAAGAGTATTTGAGAGCAGTTTGTTGAATAGTTTTTATGACAATGCTGTGTTGAATATATTATTATACACCCTCACTAACAAAAAGGAATTTTACAAACTGCAAATGATTATTTCTGAAGCCAACCAGTCTTCCTGAATCCATTCTGAGTCCTTATTGTGGCTCTTCTAATCTCTGTTAAATGTTAAGCATTCATAGATTTTAATAAAGGTTTTTGAGTGGTCATGATGTTGTAATAGTAATTTTCAAGTGGAGTAGATGGCCATTATGTACCCCTTTAACTCCCAAAAGTGATTTATAAGTAACTTCTCCCTACAATATCCATGCACTATACAGCAAACAGGTAATGAGAATACTCAAATGTATCAGGTGGAAGTTGTTATCTTGATCTAACACCAAATTCTCATAAGTAATTTACAAGGAAATGTATAGCAGCCAGAGGGGAGAATGAACAATCAGTTCTTGGGAGTTAAAGGGTTTCTAATGGACATTCTTGGATAGGGGATAGCAGAAACTATTTTTCCTTGAAAGTAAGGTTTTTGGGAACTGATTTAAAGCTACACCAGAATAAAGTACATTTTAGACTGCTTTGTGTTATGTTAACATTTAAACATGCATACTTAAACTGTGCATTTTCTGTGAAATGCTTAACCCTTGACACTCTAAGATTAGTAGGCATATTCTTAACACTGTTCTTTGGTCATTTCCCATGATGTTAACAAGGAGAATTTGTCAAAAAATCAAGAGCTTCTTTAGTCAGAGATCACTTCGTATATTCTCATGCCCTTAATGTTTGATTCAGAGGTGATACTGTAAGGAGAAATAAGATAGCAGCCACTTTAAGGTGTGAAATGGTGAACTGGGTTTGGTGAAGATTACTGAATGACAGACCAATTGATTGAGGAATGACTGACTAATTGATGGAGTGACCTCAGTCAGAGAGGAGCTTAACCCTGTACATCCTAACATCAGCATGCATATTCTCCATAGTGTACTTTATATATTTCTCATGGCGATGACAAGGAGAATTTAGTTAAAAATCAAGAGCTGTTCAAGTTTGCAATCATTTCCTTGATTCTCATGAGCCTTTATGTTAGATTCAGTAGTGATAACCTAGTGAGAAATTAGATGCTAGTAACCCTTAGGGATTAAAGGGTCAAAATAATGAGACAAATGGGCCCTTTTTCCGTTTTTGAAATTTTAGTTAGAATATAGCATGTTACTTTACTCGTTAATTTGTCCTTAGACCTTGAAGAAGCGCGAACGTGATTTTGAAGCAGAGAGAGACCTCCTTAAAGTCAGCAACAGCACCAGCAAGCAGCGATTGTTGGCACTGAAGAACGAGTTGATCCTTCAACAGGAACTTTTTAAGGCTTCCTCGCAAGGAGGCAATAATTCCAAGGCTTGTCAGCCTCTCAATGAGACAACGTCTGTCCAGACCGAGGTAAAAGTGAAAAGCGAAGAAAAGCTGGCTTCGCCAGTTTCCGTTGCAACTCAGACCTCGTTCACTTCTGGTGAAGAATCTGATGTAGATGGCACCAAAGTGAATATGGAAGGTGTCACCAACGGGAAGTTGGAACACTCCAACGTAGAGAAGCACGAGAAGGAAGCCTCTGAGGACGACGAGGATGAAGACGTAGACGTGGAAGGAGAAATCACAGACGACAACATTGAGGATGTGGATGCCTCGGCGGCGGTGAAGGCGGAGGTCGTGAAGTTACCAGAGCCTGTGGGTCCTTGTGGAAAAGTCTCTTCATCCAAAAGGAAAGCAGCAGCTGGAGATGATGGAAATAAATTGGAGGCCAAAAAGACCAACATCAAATGCTGCGCACGTGTCAGCTGTTAAGCACGACACGTGACAATTATTTGATAAGGTCATGGCCAATCTCACTGTTGTGTCGTTCAGTGACCAGATCTTTCATACCATGTATGGCTTCTAGGGGGGAGTGTGGTTAGTGAACAGATCTGCAATGCAGATCGAGAGGTTGTAATTTAAATATTTCCTTAGCTAGGTATTAGGGTTTTCTGTTTTGTACGTGAAGTTTTATTTTAGGTTCCCTCTTAGCCCGCTTAGCCTGAGCTTTGATAGCCAAGCGTGAGAAGTCGGTGGCGGGTTGAAACACAAACACGCGCGTTGTTTCAAATCATTGGCATCCGCCAACTTCATGCATTTTAGTGCTTGCTCATTTGTAGCCGTCTGGCAGGTTCCTTAAATGTCACCTGCGAGGGAGGGGAACAGCTACAAATGGCAGAGGGGTGTTGTTATCTTTTCGAAAATAGGGTATTACATTGGCTCCAAGCTACTTGGACCGAAAAAAAAAATGAATGTTTGGTTTTAGTCTAGTTAATCAAAGTAACGGCTCTTTAGCATGGCTGAAAGACAGTGTTACAATTTGATTAAATGTTGTCTTAGAGGCGTTGCAAAGCAACGCGTTGTAACTTTTATAACTTCATACAGCTGTAATGCGGGTAAAAAAAAAACTCTCAGTTTCTCGACTGCTCGCACTTGAGTTTGACTAAATGGCCCTCATCTTTCCCCTTCGATTTGGTCATTTTCAAGATATGTTTACGCCTCGTGTGTCAGTGTTAAGTGTATTTAAGGTGCTTTAAAGGGAAAAGAAAAGAACTTCCCCTAAACGATTGTTCAAACGACTGAAAAATTTCATTCAAAATCATAATTATTATAATGATCTTTGTGCAAGGTGCGTTCGTCACGGACGACCCTTGGCGTGGTGTTATTTTCTCTAACGTACTTGGCAGTGCTCAGTGTATATCTTTTTCTGATCACATTGGGTCGTTTAGAAATGTCGTTCATTCTCGTCGCAATATTACTATGACAATGGTTTGGAACAAATCCAAACCAAAAAACGAAGTATTCGGTACAAACCCAGAAGTGAGAAACAGTTGCTGGGATTTACATGTAACACGAATGACGTCGACCTTTACACCCCTCTTATTTTAGGACGAAAGATACTGAGTTTTACTTCAAAAGTGTTGTTTAGTAAGATCATGCAAATTTAGGCTACGCCAAGAACTCTCTTGTACGGTAGACAGCACAACTGTGTTTTCTGTTTTAAACTTTTGTGGGAAAGCTATATATGAAAACATGGCTTAAAATTCACAAAGTACAAGTTTAATCTGTGATGTCTGATCATAATTCCGCCGGAATTTGATATAAAAGGAAAACTCCCAAACACTGCTTCATAATGTGATGGAGTATCGTTCTGTGCATGACAATTTCAACGTTCTTGAGCAGTGCCTTAATTAAGTACCGTTTATCATAGAGGACAGAGTAATTGAAATGGTTCGTTCCTTATATGTGCTCTGTGTGACTAAGTTCAAAACTTAGAAACTCCAGAAAACCTTTTGGAGCAACTAAAGTAGATGTTTGTGTGGTGCTGTTTGTTTTAGTCTGTCGATGTTTTTTAATATGGAGTTCTGTTTTAATGTAAGACTTTGGTGTGAAACGGTGCTAACCCTTGAAGATCCCGTGCTTTTAAGAAAATTAACGTTTCCTATCTAAACCTTGAGTATTTATGCATTAATATACTGCACCTCGGTATACGTTAGGAAGAAAGGAGGCAGAGATGTAGTAGTTGCTACTGTGTAGCTTTAGTGGGGTCTGTAAATGAGATTAACTGCTGTGAATAAACAGGCCGTATTTGTCCATTTTGGGACAGAATGAAACATGGCTTCTTGTGTGGTTTAAAGATGATCGAATAAGTCGCAAAGTGATGATGCAAAGTGAACAGAAGCCTTTACAGGTGTTAAGTCAATCCATCGCACAGAAAGGCGAAAATTAAAACCTTGATGTGAATGAAGTAAGAGAGTAGAAGAAAGGCATCGAGATGTTCGCGGCTAAATACTTCCTTTCTTTCTTCTTTCTTCGCCCTTCTTCCCCTCCATTTAAAACTACAAAGGTACGAAAAGGAGACGATGTCGGCCTTGGGCCTAAAAGGGGGGTAAATTGTCTACGATTGAGAAAGAGAGTAACCTTCAAGCGCTTAAGAAAGGTTTGACAGTGATGTTTAACGGCACGTTTGTAATTTTTTTTTTTTCGTTTTTTCTTCTTGCGTCCTTCTGAAGGATAGTACACTCTTCACACTACCCCCCTCTCAGGTCCGGACGGTCGCCTTAATCCTATGCTTGGAATCCTTTTTAAAAGCTTCTGTGGGGTCCGAAACTGTACCAGAGGTTTCTTTTTTTAAATGCAAAAACCAAGGAACTCGCCATAAGTAAGGTTCAATACTATCATATAAAACTTACCTTGCGTGACGTCTAAGTTACCTTTACACCATAGCACCAGTGTGCATATTCTCCTCGTTGTTCTCTATGCGTTTCCTATGATAATGGTGAGGAGAAAATAGTAAACAATCAACAACTTAGGCGGGGGATCATTTCCTTTCTTCTCATGACCTTTATGTTTGATTGAGTGATGACATTGTAAGAAGTTAGAGGATGGGCATTCTTAACCCTTTAACTACCATGAGTGACCAAGACAAAACTTCTCCTTACAATATCAATACAATATCAAGTAGACAGGTGATGAGAATAAAGAAAAATATTTATTAGGGCATTATTACTTGATCCAACACCAAATTCTCCAAAATAACATCACAAAAACTATGTGGCAGACAGTAAGGAGAATTACTAATGAGAATTTGGGAGTTTACGGGTTAAGAGTTAACAGGGTTAAAAGCGCGCGCGACGAATTCTAATCCAGGGAAGTAGACAAATACAGCAGGAAAAGCAAGGTATTAGCAGGAGGCTGGCAACACCAAAACTTACGGGATCTTGATCGCAGTCAAAATACAGTTTTTCGCAAACGCATTTCTTGAGAAGTCAGCTCTTAATACGAAAAGTCAAGTGTTTTTCAGGACCCGAAATAGTGCGTTAATGATGTTGTTTCGTTTCTTAATATATCTATACTATCGAGGGAATCGTTGATGAATTCAAGAGTCAACATCAGCATTGGATAAAGGTTAAACATGTTTGCACAAGTCTTTTCCCCTCCTTGCGTTCCAGGTGATATACTTTAAGCAAACCACAACAACGATCAATTAAGAAACGTGATGAAATAAGCGAGATAATATGCAAAACAGTGTTTGCCCACGTGCGTCTAAAGACTTTGAACAATGCTAAGCAGTTGTCACCCAAAATACGTCAAAATTTCCTTCCGATCCGTTGATGGCTATTTTTGAAAATTTAATTTGGCAGTCACCAAATTTTGCACTTTACACTAACTTCACTGGTTCAGGGGAGGAACGTTTTGACGCCAGGAGAGAAGGTGAGCACATCGCGTCTTTGGCGACTGAAATTTTTATGAAAAAAAACAAGAGGTAGATTGCTCAGTGCTGATGTCGCTGTAGTTTTTCCTCAGTCTAACGATTAAGAGCTAAGTAATTGAAATACATTATTCAAAAGGTGTAAGGTCGTGAAAGTGAAATTTTGCAGGTTAGACATGCACATTCTACCTTTTGCAATGGTGTTTCCAACACAAGCTGTCTTGAACAATTTTGATAAAAGATTTACTCCTTGATGTAGTCTTAGCTGTCTGCTGCCAAGATTTTTATGAGGCTAAGTTTGGAAAAATAAATCAGTCCCAATGTCTCGTAAAGATCTTATTCACCTCCCGCATTTGCCAGAACTCTAAGATTACTTCGAAAAATTACCACAGTAATAGGCTTCATTCTAAAGACACCCGATCGACCTAAAGGCAATCTGGTTTCGTTGGGCACACACAGTCTATATGCGGTGTGTAGAAACTCTGTGGTGTTAGCACGAAAACCGCGCATTCTTCATTGCCAACAGTTTAAACCTGATGTCACTCCCGGAGGCACTAAGGAAGTCGTTTGGGCTCGCCAAAAGAGAAAAAAAACCGGAACGTGTTTGACAGCTCTCTTTGAAAAAGTTTCAACTTTTTCTCGCGCCGATCTCTTCACGCCCTTACCAAACTTTCCCTGTGGGTTTCCGTCCATGCCCTCACAACCGGTGGGAGTCGCTTACGATTTCTGACAAGCAATCTTTTTATATTTGAAAGAACAAAATTGTACAGTGTACAATTCTGTGTAGAAAGACTCAAGTGTGGTTCAGGATTTGTTAACCACCGACTGTCAATTTGCTGTTAACTAAGGGTATTCAGCTTAAAATAGGAACAAACATTACAGCATTTAGGATAAAGAGGAGTACATGAAGTATTACTGATTTGAGACTCTATTTGAAGAAAATTACCCTTTTCGTGCACAAACTATGTGTGAAACGGATGACTTAACCGCGCAAAATTATTAGCTTCTAGATGGCTCGAAGGCTTTAGACGACAAATTGTCTTATGACACATTTCTCTGACATAAAAAAGGGTTCCGTGATATTCAATTTCCCCACCATCCTATCTCTCTCCAATAAACAAACCCTTTCATGTTGTCGCATCGTGTTTAGGTCTTCGTTAAGCGGAGGGAGACAGAAATTGTAACATGACGTTCAAAGGTCGATTTGTCGCGGCTCAATATAGTGTAACCAAATAACCGTAACATTCATCTAATCTAAAGCTTACGGGTCTCATAACAAATGTGGAGTCAATAAGGTTGGGAACAACACAAATGCATACTCACCCACGAAACCAATCACTATGATAAAACACCAATACAATGAAGTAATTACGCAAGGCCTGTTTCAGTTTTGTGAAACGGGCCTCACTCAAGATAAAACCAAATTCAGCAAGAACTCCCAATCATCAGGAGAACATGGAACCCGATCGCCGCGTATAAATACCACTCAATAAAAACATCCTTTAATCACAAGATTGTCACAGAAAATTTACGACGTAAGTTACGGCGCCGCAAGTTTTCCATTTTGTCCGCGGTACTGTGTATAACGCACGAGGAGCTAATTATCGAATACTGCCCCTTTTCGATTCTTTCGAACGCTTGTAAACTGAAATCAGGCCTACAGAATCACCCACTAAGTCTTAATTTCGCGTTGAGTCCATTTGTCAACATTCGAGCCATACCTCGATGCGATCACGCTATACAGTTATTTAGTTTGTATATAACGACATCGTTTTCATGATCATTACTGGAATGAGCTTAGGTCATTTTTTAGAAACTGATTAATGCTACAAAAATAATAGGATAGTGATTTTTAATGAGCTCGACACGATGTATGGTGGACTAGAAATTGATGACGTATTGCCTGATGTTTACCACGTCAGAGTTTAATACAAAGTTCTTAAAGGAATTACCGTTAGGAGAAACCCTTTAATATTTAAGGGATATGTCAAAAAAATGTTTTTTAATGGTCTTCGCGAGGTAAATAATAGCATGTGAAATAACTAAATTCATAGGAAATGGATGCTTTGTTAAAGGACAATCATAACAATCATTAGGTAAACATGACAGCGCGCAAATTAATTAACTTTTTCTTAACATAAGAATAGTGAAAAATCTGAATTTATGGTTACTTTATTTATAAGTCACTGCGCATTGAAGCATTTACTAGCTTCAATTTTCTGCGCGTAACAGAATGCTTTGAGAGTCTTCCTAGCGGTTGGCTTCGTTATGACACAAGTCGCCCCATTTTGTGGGGACAATAGAAAAACAGGTGTAGACACCCACGTTGCTCCATTGACGTCAGAGGGTAGTAAGAGCCCATTAACACGGGAGGCGTCCGTCAATGAAACCACTTCTCCGCCAAAGCTAATTCCTAATTGGACCAATCAGAAGTCGACAGCTCGGAACGACGACGCAAACGACCCTTATATGGGAAATTCAAAGGAGTGACATCTGTTTACAGAGAGCAGGTGTGGGAGATGAGGACGAGCAACCAAGCCTTTTCATAGCAGATGTTTACAGCTAAGACAGCACAAAGGCAAAGAGAACCCATAAAATAAGCTCGAGACACTTGAATAACGGCGATCCTTCAATGCTGTTTCGTTTCCTCGTTCTAAAAATGCGATATACAATTATGCCTAACCTAATAGTTTTTCTATTCGATCAGAGAAAAAGGGTTAGTTTCTACAAATGCGACCTACTTAACATCACTACCAACGCTATATCCTTGATAAGCATCTATTGATGTCATTCCTTAATGTAAATTAACCTGAAAGCTTGATAGCCCGGGAATAAAGCAGCTACCTTGACGAGTCCTACCTTTCCATAGATGAACAAGAATTAAGAAACGGACTTTGTAGAACTTACAAGATAGTTAGAAGGGAATTTAGATGTCAATTAAGAGGCTACATATGTATAGCTAGCGATATGATAAAAGTACTTCGTTTACAAATTACAGCATTTTTTCCTCCAAAAAAAAATTACAGATTTATGGCATCTTTTTCGTGAAAATAAAAGTTATATTTAATTCGCCAAACTGAATTCTCGTTTCGATGGGTTCTATTCATTTTTTTTTCACTGACCGACCATGACAACATTAGACAGAAATAATAGATTACAACTTCATTTATCGAGCATGAAGTAGAATAAAAAAGTGGACCGCATCTTCTTTCTTCTTCTTTCTCTGTCAGCTCTTTAAATCGCAGAATCATCAGAAGTCTTCATAAACATCTCAGCTTTTGCGGTGTCCCGGCAACATCCGGGTTATTGCTTTCATTTTGGTAATTGACATCTCACAATAACCCACGTAAACCATTTAAACGTAATCTCTTGGGATGCGCCTCCCGTTATCAGCTGCTGTTTAGGGCTTCTTCTATTTCAGCTTCGCTACCTACCATCTTTAAACACAAGTCCCAACTGAAGGCTTCCTAAAGAGGAAGGAAAAATCAAAGCAGGTTAGTTTCTTACTCTGAGGTAAGCAATTCATTACAAAATGATCTCACTGCAACCAAAGATATTTGCAGTTGTCCTTCAAATTCGTTCGCTGACCGCTTCAGGGGATTATTTTTCGCTTTTTTGTGTCGTCCACTGCCTTTTGAGGTATTCTTTCTAAATTTCTACCAAATCGCAACCCAACCATCAAGAGAAACCGCTTTTGGTCATGGTCCAAGACTTACAGTCACCACTCTATATTCAAGAGTTGGTAACAAGAAAACTAGATCGTTAAAGTTATATAATTGACACAACGCGTCTATAAAGTAAACACGATACTTAAGTTAGTATTTAATCACCGTTCTCTACCTCGCACCAGTGTTTAACGTTTCCGAAAGCAATCGAAACTATGAGGAAACATCAGGCAGGCAGAAACATCCAACAAATCCCCCAATTTTATTTTCATAATTTTGAGCATTTTTATATCGAAATGACAGAATGCTTGATGGCCTCTCTTCTACAGTCGTTACGTCTTAGTCCACAAGATTGCCGCATATCTCTGATCCATAGTCTAAAATCATTGATATACTTACAGATAATCAACTAGGTCCATTAACACTCTAATAATGTATCATTGAAAATTCACGCTCATACAATGTTCCTACAGTTCTTCACTCTAGCACATATAACGTCCGCAGTATCACGGTTTGTTTCCGCACCTGCAGATCGACAAACATTATTTTTGCTCAATTACCCCCTTCCAACTATTAACGACTGACAAGCGCCAACCCCTCTTTTCTCTCAGTAAATCACTCAGTTACGAAACAAAAAGATAGTCTACATTTTAAAGGGTGCTTGAGTTTCTTCCTTATTTTCTTTTTTGGTAAAAACAAACAGTTTGCGTTATCTAAAATATATGCCACGGTCTAACCAGCAAAAGTGTCAGAGATCAGTTGGAGAATACTGAAATCAGCATTCGAACTCCGGAGTAATAAAGTACATCAAAAACATTTCTCTTTTCAATTGCATGAACGCGTATAAAGATTAAACATCTCCACAAGCAGACGAATTCGACCAACACTGACAAAACCTTATAGATAATTACACCTTGATGCTGCTACTTGAAAAGAGGATCAATAAGATGCACACTTCATTTGTAGTTCCTACACATCAGTTAACGGCAGACAAATTAAAAGATATGAGAAAAGTGCAGATTGCTCTCACACGGAACCCTCAGCGCCTCCTCGCAAACCACAAGCTCAAAACTGATAGAAATTCATTGTCTCTAACGGTCTCCTCCGGCAAAATTGGAGTGGCTTCTCTCTCGTTCATTACAAGGAAACAAAAAAAGGGTCCATCTTTACAGCTATTGTGCTCAAGCCAGCAAGACACAAGTTTATGCTCAAAAGACACGCATCTTAAACAACTAGCTTTCACGAAACACACCCAGGCAGGCCAGACATCATTAGAAGCGCGAGACAACAAAAGAATGTCGGTTAGGATGTACATTACTTTTAAAAGACAAGAATTTGAAACAGTCAAAAAAAGGCTTGGGCTGGGGCACGAGCTAGAGGCTCAGAATTTCCGAGGTCTACCTAACTCAATAGTGCTACTATTCTTCTGGTATAGAATGCTGCTAATCCATTGCCATTCGCAGGCAGCTGTTTTAGTAACTTTCACACAAAAGCTCGAGCGACTGCGTACTTTAAACTTTTATTGAGACGAAATAGCTTTGTAAGCCGGTATGGCACATTTAAACACTGTTAAGAGTCCACCCAACCCTCCCAACCTCAGGTTGCCATCCGTGTTCTTCTGAAGGTAGTTTAATAATTCAACCTAAGACACAGAGAATTTTTACAGCTGTCTAGAGAAAATCTACCATTCATCATCCGTTCATGGGAAGTTTTGTGGTTGAGATCTACTTCACAAAGATTATGTGGTCTTTTATCAGAAGATGATAAATAATATAACTATAGAAATAAACCCAGAGAAGTCTTCTTAAACATTTCTTTAGTCAAAGGCTTTTTTTCATGTTTTGGACTTCTATGGTTCGTTTTCTTGTCAACAAAAGAGGGATAACCCAAATATTGCATATTAATCTACAAGAAGAAAAAATTTACATCCTTAGTAAAGGGTCTGGAGAATAGATCCAGTTATTCAATTAAGTTTGTCATCTATTACTGACGATAAAGGAATATACAACAAAGAAATACGAGACGCGAGTCAAATTTTGAAAGACACTCAATGACGTGCCGTTAAAGATAAGAAAATTTTATGCTAAAATAATTAAACCAAAATAAGAAGAATTAGTCAAAGAATTAAAAAACTACTAAGGCTGAGGTAGTTTGTGACCAATGACGCGCCACGAATATGAAATGCGTGGCTATCTTTGTAAATAGCAAACGATGGAGCATACTCGCAGAGAAGAAAAACAGATGGGGTTACGTGTTGAGGAAATTTAGACAATCAAGACTGCTGTCGGCAGACTATCGGCCTCTCATTAAAAATAAATGGATTCAAAAGGAAGTATTGGGAAAACTCAATGGTTTCTAACGCTATTCGAAAGATTGCCCAAGAAGATTTATAGTCGATGGACAGGCAGATGAGTTTCATTACCAACAGCGTGACGCCATCGAGCAGAATTTAACGTCTCAGAGGATGGGAAATAACGCTGTTACGAGAGAAGAGAATAGGAGATAAATTTGAAAGTTTTGATTACACTTCATTTTAATACCATAAAAGTCATCTTAGTCGTATAAAGCCTTTCTAAAACTTAATTACAATTTACGGTCTGGCGGTTATGACATCTTACTCTCAGAATTTTTATTTTGACCTTCTATTTTCGGAAGTTTTAGTTGTCTAAATTTATACTTGATCAAGTGACGATTGCAATTTGCTTGAGCCACGTAAAGTGTCTGTTTTAACATTTCCGCCTACGTGGTGCTTTCTCTTTCTAGTGGATCGGGGAAAAAACCTTTTGCCGTCTTTCCTTTTCACTTTCGGTGGAGCATGAAGAGCTATAAAACCATGATGGACACAAACTATTTCAAGCATTCATGATCTAATGAGCAAATGTGTCTATCTAGTTTATCAAGGCCAAAACCAAGCTCTTTAAAGCTACCGCCGTCTTAATGTAAATAGTTGCGCGATCACTAAATGCGGACAACATGCCTCCACTGCTTGTCAGACAGTGTTGTTTGAGGCTGGTAAAACTTGCTTTGAACACAGACATCTAAAAATGTGTTCAATATATGATATAGTTTACAGGACAGAGTAACACACAAACGCTCTACCATTGGTCAGTGTGAGATGCGTGCAGAAATGTTGTAAACAACCATATTACAAATTCAGGAGGTCATTAATAGTGTGCTCTCAGCCGAAACTGAAAGCATTACTCTTCTCTCACATGTAAAGCTATAATCACATGACAAAATGCAGCTTGTTCTCACAAACCATCAAGACAGAGAGAGCGTGATGGCTTTCGATTAAACACCACCACTAAGAAACGAAACGGTATTTAAATGTTGATATTACTGAGAACTATCATTTAGTGTGTCAAACAGCTGGTCGATTTGCTATCAATTTGTTTGGAAGCTCATTAAAATGCAAAAGCTATATCTGAACAAACACCGGTCCAAATCCAACTTTCCGCTTGATTGTTTTCGATAGGAGATCAACTTTTTCGTAAACAAGAACAACCAAGAGTCAATCCCACATATTTTTTGAGTAGTCTTTCGAAGAAATATGTTGAAAACAAAGTTGCGAGGCTTTCGTATTACATGACAAGCAAACACGAATCGATGAGCGATAAAATCTTACCGTTGCATCTCGGAGTTCAATCCGAGTGAATACAACTCTTTATCCCGGCTTATCGAGCCAGAATTTCGACTCCGGCCGGTGTATCTCAAACAGGCCCCTCATTTTTACAAGGTTCAGTGGCTGGACTATCGAAAGATCTAGCGAAAAGTGACGTCGTCGAACATAAACTTCAAACCCTATCCAACCAAGAAATGGCTGCTACAAAAGATATCCCTCACAATGTCGGGTGCGGCTGCAAAGTAGGTTACGTCATTTCTAGTTTAAGCCAATGAAATTGTCGGAAAAACAATGCAGATGTCAATTCTAAACGTATTAGCCAATTACATTTCGACAACTCTCGACTTTCGCGCACATGAGAGTCACGTTGGTGGAGGTTTGACACTCGTAAGAAGCCTCCTCAACCATGCTATTTTGCAGCGTAAGCTTGTTGACAGTAGTGGTCTTGAAGCGCAGCTCAATTAGGCAAGTATACGGTAGTACTGACGGCCACATCTCACAACCATCAAGTTTGTTTTGAGTTATACAGAGGCGGAGAACACGTGGTCGGTGGATGGGACCCATTGAGCGTTAATCAAGCAGAGGAGACTAACGTTTCAAGCTAGGACGCTACTGCTAACACTGTGATCGCAGTCGAAGGCAACGAAATGACAAGTGGTGGAAATTATTCATCGCTCCGCCGGGCTCAACTCACTTACGATTATCTGCATACAAACAGGTAGTTACGGTAACGATTTGCGGAGTATTTTATGGTCTTGAGCCCTTCACCTTGACCAAGATTTTCAAACCATGTGTAACATGTAAGGGTATTTGTGTTGGATGACTACAGGCCCGTGCACGCGCATGTTTTGCCTATTTTACTGCCAAGGGTGCATCAACTAATTAAAACCTCGCTAGAAGCAAAGAAAAGAAACGTAAATAAGTATCTAAATTAATTCCTTTTACTTTAGTTTTTCGTAAATGAATAACATTTCAAGCTTTTACGCTTCGCAGAAAGTCACGTAGGGTTTAAATAGTAATCTGCTCGCAGTGCGTATATATTCATGCAAATTATGTTGGATCTGTATGCCCGTGAGCTAACTAAGTGTAACTGACACGATCTGAGGAGTAGCCTCCAGTGATCTTTCTCCTTTCATTTTTCCCCAAATAGCACAACACACGAATTCTTGTTCGGAGCTTTGGCCGAGTTGGTTGATAACGCAAGGTACGAAATATAATTTCAGTTTCAGGGCACATCGTTCGAAATAAAAAGAAGTTGAAGGGGTGAAAACTTTCGCTCTTCCAGGACTCAATAGCGCGATGTATTTCTTCATTTCGCTGTTTACAATTCACCGAGGGATGTATTTGTAAATGATTACCTTAACTTGGCGTCGTCGTCTGCCTTTCTCGGTGGAAAGACTCAACAACTCGGCGAAGTGCGAGTAAACGGAAATTCCAACTGGTGTTGTTTGATTCCTGTTGTCAGGATTCTATTGTTGAAATATTACCCTTGATTTGGTTTACTTTCACCTTTTTTTACTTGTATCTCGTTGTTTGGCCCACAAAGTGATTATAAATACACTGAAATTATTGACTGATAGCCGACATGAATGCATCGATCTGATCACCCGGCTAGGTGTAGTGTAATGACTTTATTATTGCTAACATTTATCTTAGTCATTGACTCAGCCATCTATGTATTTATAGTTAATTTTTCGTATAAATTTCTCCTTTAGAGATGCATCGTCACAGAAAATCGACATTTACACAGGTTGGTTACTGCTTCTGAAGGACTTTGACTTTGGTTGACATTTAATACGTAGATAAGTAAGCAACACAAAATTCCAATGCTAATGATACTATTGTTTTTGACTTAGCAAAATCACATGGGTGCCGGACTTTGATCACATGATCAAAGTGTCATACTAATTCATTTATTGGGAGATTTAGAGTTTATATATTTATTTGGTTTTCATTTGATAATTTACATTATATCCATATATAGCAAACTTTATGAATCCTAAATTAAAGTTCTTCTTTTGGTGTGAAAGCTTTTCACAATAATTACTTTCTGGCGGATGTTTATTTTGGGAAACAGAAGGTTTAAGTGGTAAGTGTAGCTTTTAATTCAGGATGTGCGGCATTTAAATATCAAAGGAACTGATGAATCTTTGTTACATTAATTTTTGTGTACACAATCCTTAGGGAGATTTGATTGCTTTGTTTGGCTTCTCTCCTATTTTAAGACTTTAATTGTCTGTTTTGACTATAACTGCATCAAATATAGTCACTGTACAGCAAATTTGTATCTGAATTTGTATTGCTGTAGCTCTGGTATCAATATGATCAGTCATTGATTTCTTTGCTTGAAATGAGAAGACCATATCAATTTATTTTCTTTTACTGTAGCCTTGGTGTGAACCCTTTGGCTACATAGATTTAGGCAACAGCTGAGTTTTGAAGCTTCACATGTTGACTTATTGTGATAATTAATATAATAACTATGCTTTATTTCTTTTGTTAGAAACACTGATAGCTCTAATGATCTTTGGCCTTAGTAACTGATGTTGTTTATTTATTTTTTTAATATTATTCATTCTTGACATTGGCTTATTTAAGGGTAGCCTGCGTAAGGATCATTACTAGCATGTGGGCTGTCCTTGTTAGATCTCTCTCTCTCTTCATTATACCTACATAGGCATGGGCCTGTAGTAGATGCAACAATTTTGCTATTCTGATTTTAACCATGCCTTTTCCAGCAAGGTCTTAATGATTCTTGAGTTTTTCCCTCTTCTTGTTCTTTGTATACTGACTGCCTGAAATGTCAATGTGGTCCTCTAGCAGTCATTACTTTGGCTGTTTGGTTTTTAAAAAGCCTAAAGAGTTTTTACTATGATCACCCATGTTTGCTAGTTCGGGTGTTTGTGTCTTTTTTATTTGTTCAGTGGTGATTTAGATAGAAAAGCCTCACAATAGAGTAGTAGGACGCTGTTCCATAGTACAGGATAATGTTTTGTCGTTCACTTCTGTGAACTAATCGTGTTATCATTGAGGCTTAACTGTCACAAACTGGTGAAATAATTGTTTATGATTAAACAGATATGTTACAGTTTGGGCATTACATGTCCTGGAAACATTTTGTCACATTAGAGATCACCAGTGGAGATACCCTGTCTCCTCAAAACAATGCCTCTGGGAAATGGTTACAACAGATATGTTACAATCTGGGCATTACATGTCCTGGAAACATTTTGTCACATTAGAGACCACCAGTGGAGATACCCTATCTCCTCAAAACAATGCCTCTAGGAAATGGTTACAAAAGATGTTACAGCTTGGGCATTATATGTCCTGGAAACATTTTGTCACATCAGAGATCACTAATGGAGATACCCTGTCTCCTCAAAACAATGCCTCTGGGAAATGGTCAGAACAAGAAACAAACACAGCTACCAGGAGTATTTCCTTTGCCAGGCCTATTTGTATGGTATTTTAAGAATTTTGTCACTGCTTCTCTCAGTCTAGTACAAGAACATATATGGGTTATGAAAAAATCCACAAATACATGCCAATGGTATGATAGTCTGAACTAAATATATTCTTAACCAATCGTTGAGAAATCTTGTACTACAGTGCTGTTCTACATGATTGTATACCCACTCATTTGATTTAGGTGTTCCTGCTGCATTTTAACTCCTCTTTGGTCATGGTTTATCTCTTGTGCTTTGCACTGAGTTTGGTTTCCACTTATATGACAATTATCTCCATTTTTGTCATTGTAGTTGTATTACTTTTGTGCTTTTTGAGAAACCATTCTCGTCCTGATGTATTTTAAAGCAGATCAGTATCCAAATACCTACACTTTTACTAAGTGTGTATAAAATGAACTGATATTTCTTGAATCTCACTTTTTCTATCAACTGAATCTCTTACTACAGGCAATATAACCCATTTCCTGCATTCTAGAGCAGTGGTTTGAAAACGATCGTTTCACTGCAATTCCATCTTGTTTTTAAAGAACTCCTCTTAAAGTCTTTCCTATCGTTACAAATATTTTATCCATACTCGCCTACACCTTTTATTTCAATTTTCCTCATACTTCAGGGACTTCAACGTATGCTTTATTGATGTATAACACTAGTAGGAGGTCTTAACAATGTAAGACGAAGGAGAGATTTTGGATCGACCTTTTCTAGGTACAGCTCTCCAGCGTTATTGATAACAAGGAGAGAAAACCTATAAAACCGCAACTCCCTAATGCGTGGACATTGAATCTCCTAATGCAGACTTGAAGAAAGTAAACAAGAAAAAATATCTGAACATTCTACATTCTCGCCGTTTCGAGTTGGGTATAATTCTTTAACTGCTGTTTCTCTTTCACCTCAGCGGTGACGTCAACCGTGCTAATGTATTTCTCAAGAAAAGAGCCAATGACATTTTACTAATACAGTAAACAACTTTGCCCGATTTACGTCCTGCATAACCCAACTTAAATGTCATTAATGAACAGAATCCGTAGGCTGGTACACAAGTCAAAGATTAAATAGACTGATAAAGCAGAGAGAGACAGGAAAGGATAGCGAATGCGTCTGAAATCAAATTAAAAGGCATACTTGCAACCCAGTGAAGACGAAGGCAAACAAGGAATATTTCATTAAGAACTAAAGCAAATTAAGAGTAGCCAGAAAAAAGGAAAAGCGTTATCCGAGTACTGAAGCTCAGCGAGGCCTAACATGAAGCTTTGGACTAACACCGCACTATATTGTTGTGGAATTTTCCTTTGTTAAGAGGTTACCGTCTCTACCATGCATTTACTTGACGTCAAGGCTTCTCAAGGCTCATCACACGCCGCATGTAGTACTTCTTAACCGTGAGACACCTGGTAACAGCATTACAAAGCTTTCGACGGGAGAGATAAGGAAAATTGACTTTGGAGCAGATTTGGCGAGAGGTGGAAGGAATACAGCAAGCATAACACGAGAAATCTTAATCATGAAAAGCCGTGCTGTATATAGATTGAAAACGTCATTCTGAGACCGTTAGTTGTAGCAGATCATAAGGCTCCCTGAGAAAGGGTGATAACAATTTGGACCAGAGTGCTTTAGTCGCGAGGACTGCTAGTTGAATACAATTCACATCCGCTCATCAAAGAGTAATACAATGCACGAGACCTACCTTTCTAACTAAACCCGAGATGTTGGGAAAAAAGACTTGGAAAGCAGTGCTATGATATACATCACTCGCTTTGTAAACGAGGTCCTTGTTGAACTGCATTTTTAAGAAGACGAAATTGGATTACCCGTCAAGTAACAGTGGAAGTCGAACTTGAATATTGTAATTGCCCAAATCATAGCATTGTTACTCCATACAAAAAGTGGCCGTCTGCTTATGTTACCACGCAAATTAACCTCTCTACTTCTTAGGGGCAACAAAATAATCCTCACGCCATTCCGTATAGCTTTACTGGTCTTTTCCCATAAGAGATCTGTAGTCCCCAAACACACATTAGCTAGTGCGTAAACTGTATCGACGAAATTAAATCGTATTTTGATTTATACTTTACGTTTCACCTATTTACAGAACAATGCGATTCATGTCGAGGAAATTTTATATTGTGCTTCCGCGACGACGGAGACGGAATGGATCCAAGTAAGTTGTGCATTGCAGAACTAAAGTACTTTTTCGAACTTAAGGTTGTAATGGTGGATGTTATCTCAGCGCACCGTTCAGTAGAGGGAGATTAAGCGATGACATGCGAAACTCTATCAGTGACGCTGGTATAAGGTTTAGGAGACAGTGTCTGGTTACGACGTTAGAAGTTTTGGAGTACTGACCCAACCTTTTATCTAGGACGTCGGTCACAGCCCCGAAAGTTGAAATGAACTGGTCCTAAGCGCCTCCTCTTCTCCTCAATGCACATCGCTGGCTTCGAATCCACTTATTAATAGAAACAGACAAAAACGAAACTCTGAACGGTGTAATCCCACACTCAGGAAATCTTAAACTGTTCAGTTGACTTTTACCAAAAACCCGTTCTCTTTAACCAGAACTTGTAAACTGCTTCTCAAAGACCCTTTGTGTAATCCTCTGTGGCACCGCGTCTAATATGAAGGAACCGTAATCTTGCTTTGCAGCCGAAGTCGGGAATGTTATACAATTTGGTCGGTCCGTCAAACGCACCGTGGACTCCAGAATGATTGGGCAGTATGGAAATGGACTGAAGTCGTAGGTTTTATGACCATTTTGTTTGAATACCATTCTGAACCTGTTTTTAAAACCGTATTTAGCCCTTTCTTTTTGGAATATATCAGGCACTTGGCAGCGCTTTTACATATATTTTCACTCGTGGTAATATATATGTTTCTACATTTCAGAGGAACTATGCGAATAGGGAAAGACATGATCCTCTTTACAAAGAAGTGAGTATAGTTTAAAGTCTGCTTAATGGAAACCTTTGGTTCAAAGAATTCTTTTAAAAATTGTGTCCTGAAGATCCTCAAATTTGACAAGAGCACGACCTCTCTTACTCCATGCTTCATAATGAACGCACCAGATTTGTGTTAGTATATGTCTAATTTTGGAGAGTTATGAAACAAAACGAATGGTTCGTTGAGCGGGAAATATTTAGATCCTATGGATTCTGTTGAGGTGTTGGTCAAATCGCTGCGATGGGAGTATCTCGTTTGCTCCCTCGGTTGTGGAAGTATACAGTTAAACTTGTTATTGTAACGAAAAGATGCTTTTTGTGGCTTAAGTAAATCAGAATTGTTATTTTAATTTTCAGAGGTAACACCATGAGCTGCCTGTTCCTTTCAAGGACATTTCACGAGAAAGAGAAGATCGAAGAAGTGAGTCGCGAAGGAAGATAAGCTTTCAAATGCATGGCCTACAATATTGCGTACCGTTAAGGGGAACAATCTTCTCTCCAAGTAAATACCAAATTCGGGGGACTTACCTTAGTGTATCATTATCGTTTCGGTATCTTCGAAAAGGTGCTCGTCATGCATCTTGATGATTGCGTAAATAACAAAGCGGAAATGAAGTGACCGAGATGCGCTTATCATAGCTGTTGAAAATCAGCCAATCACAAGGCCGCTCAGTGCCTTTTAGTATGACGCATTGGCAGTCGACCTCACCTATTGAGGAAGATTAGTATTGTGCAGGCAAAACGTGGCGTTCCATATCAGAAGTGACTATATCGTGGGACAGGAGATTATTTCCATTATAATTTTAGTTTGAACAGCTCGAATGGAATAATTTCTCCCTCAGACTTGTTTAAAGGATGCCATTTTGATTTTGGGCACCGGTTTCTTCGTCTCGACTCCGATAGACCTCTGAAACACTAATGTATCACAGGTGGTTATATCCAACTGTTAAATTTAGGTATGAATGCAGAAAGAAAAACTGCTTTGGTTTCCTCTTTCATAACAGGTTGTAGTTCCGATGCCTTCCTGGGAAGTATCCAGTAAGAAACCTTTTGGTAAATCTAAGCGTGAATTGGAAAAGGTAGGAATCGCCATTTTTACTTCTCTTGTTGAAGATAATTGTTCCAAAAGCCAGCGTAATTAACGTCAACATTTTCCCTTCACAGCATCAACTTGAATTGAATTTGATCTTGAAGTACTCGCCTTTCAAGATGGAATCACAGTTGTTTGAGCAATTTGATAAAATAGGATCGAAAGGTACTTGTGTAGACGTGAATATACTTTTCATTTGAATCTGATAACTACACAATGCCTTTCTTTATATATTAACGCGCGAGGTCTTTCCTTTTTCCTCTTCAGGGACGCTAGTTGTTGTGTATAATGTAAAACTCATGGATAATGGCGAGCCTGAACTTGATGTAAGTTGAACGCAGTCGAAAAGACCACGAGGAATGTAATGATGCATATCGTACCTTGGTCACCGATCGAAAAAATCTTTCCGTTTTATCTTAGTTCTAACGATACTTATAGTGCAATCAGTAATCTTTATAAGATTCAGTTTGAAATCAGCATTGGGACTCAAGGTTTCCCTAACTTGAGTTGTAGTGTTGCAAAGTATGCAATTGTGTACACTGTGGAATGAAAGTAAATTAAGGGGGTTGGTATTTTTTGTTAATTATAGGTTCTAAAATTGGGAGCAAGAGTTGTAGCGAGGTCACAATTACGAGACAAACACGATTTCCGAAAATATTGAAAGAAACTTTCCTATTTATCTAGAGGAACATGAAAAATTTCAAACCGATGCTTTCATGTTTATCCGAATAAAGTTCGTTTGCAGCCTCTACGAGTTCGTCCAATTCAAACCCACATTACCAATGCTATCGTTTAACCTCTAAGAAGTGATTTACCGCTACCTTCTCCTTACAATATCGATACATCGTCCAGAAACCAGGTGATGAGAATAGGCAAATTTATCAGTTAGAGGGTACGTTCTAATATAACACCATACTCTGTCATTAATTTACAAGGAAATGTAAATCAGTGAGCAGGACTTGTGTGGATAAAAGATCGTAAAAAATGGTTCTGCTGATGTTGATGATTACAATAATAATGATGGTGATAATGATGATGATAATGTAAGCGATTATACTCTACCATCACTTCTTTGCTCTTTGACTCTGTGAACCGCTGTATATGAATCTTGTTGCGAAGTAATGTGACTTGCCAGTTTTTACCACGGACGCAGGAGGCAATATTGCTTCGTGGCTGGGAGAGGGGGAGGTGCATGTTTGGTGACAAAACCTTGACAGGAAGGCGGATGTTTGCTAGTGCTTTCTTTGTCGCTGATGTGTGTGTATTGAGCTTCTGGTTTCCATAAAAAAGGATGACTGATAGTCGCATCCGTTTAATAGAACTGAAAAGAGGTTTTTCTAACTTGTAATCAGTTCAGATGTTGTTCAGTCAAGTGGCGGTATCGAATGCAAGGAAGGAAAACGATTCATTCGTAACTAACTAATGATATAAAAAACGACCAGTTGTCCGCATCATAGAACGTCTTGCAGGAAAGAAAAAGTGGGGACAAGAACCCATATTCCCGTAACCGATAGCAACAGCGACTTTTATATCGTGCTCCTTTGAGGATTAGTAAAGTTTTATTTCCTTGAAACGCTGAGTGAATCCACGCTTTGAATTAGACATACGTTACACTCACCCCCTACCCTCGCCAATCTACTTACATTAAGTGATGATGTTCTCTTGGTAATTGGTTGGATTTTGGCTACGTTTTGTGGCAAAGGTTGGACCCCGATTGAGGAGAGAATCTTATAATACATCTGACTCCGGGCCCCTCATAGTCACAAAGAAGTGATAATCTGTAGAGACAAAACAGCCAGACATGCCCCTAAAATACCACCTATTAGAATATCATGTCTGCCATTGTCAAGCTGACAATGTTAATGTCATTGGATACGTAGGTAGTCAGTGATCCTCATGATATCAAAATGGCGGATCCAGAGGCAGGAGGGAACGTGGCAGATTACGACTTGTAAGTGTTATTTCGACCATATTCCTTGCATTGTATACTCTCATTTTTCGTATACAATGCCATAGATACCCTAGAATAAGAGGTTACAGTTTAATATCGTTTGGGTCGTGGGGCATAGAGGCCAATAAAGCCTTATAAAAGGTGGATTCAGCACTTCCTTTGATATGAGAAACTTCAAGTGACAGCTTATAACTAGTCCATAGGAGAATCGTGCCTGAGAAAATTACCCTCAAGGTCCTGGTGACTAGTATAAGGTGCTGTCCTTGGAATCTACAGGCGACTTGTCAGCAAGTCTGTTTGAAACTAAGTACATGTGAACGATAGCCCAGGTCAGTGGAGCGCCCTTTAAGCTAAACATGCATCCGAAACTCACAAAATTAAATACATCGGAATATTTTTTCACAAAATTAGGTGTAATTTTATCAATAATGGCACTAAAAATTCTCTGCTTTACAGAGCTTAATAGATGGAGGTGAACCAATTTTTTGTTTGTTACATTTCTCGAGTAAATAAAATTTTAATAGTTACTTGTTATTATTCTGCTAGGACTATGCCAGAGAGGATTTCGTTTAGAGCCTACACTGCAATTATGTACTTGGATCCTCGAATGAAAATTTACATACAGGTGCGAGTGGTCATGTGTTCAGTGTATACTAATGAGCTGGCTGATCGAGTGTTTGCGGAGGTGCCAATCTCTTGCTTCTTTTTTATTCCATCAGGGTAAAAAGGTGCGGACGAAAAGACTAACGACTTGCTTATACAACACGAAGTGAGTAACGTCAAAAATATTTCTTTGATTTTTCTTGTTTCTCTTGCGATGATTCGTAAAACGTTGTTACATTAAGTTATTTTCATCGCGCTAGTTGGCTACATGCAAAACATCTTAACAACCTTTTTCAATGCAGCGAGGTGTTTGAATCCCTTTGGAGCATGTTCAAGGATGTGGAATTAGGTTTGAACTTATTTCTTGTGTTACGTTTCCCAGGTGTTACGATTTCACGTCTAAAAGGTTCAAGACAAGATCGGAACAGGAGAGTGAGAAGGCTGTTCGTGAGGCTAAAATAGGTAATGAATGAAAGACTGTGTTGTTAAACGTATGTTAAGGGTCCAACCTTGAATCATAATACTTGGTATAACTTGTAACACTGCCTTTCAAAAGTTAAGTTTCAAAACTGTTTCTTCTTCTCGCTTCTGTGGTACTTTCAACTTGGTTTTGAAACGACCTCAAAGTAAGAGCGGGATTTGCTATCTACAAAACGCTAAACTTGATTTAATATTCCAAGAAATGTTACCTTTCGTTAGGTGCGTCGAAATAGGAGTGAATTTGGTAGCCGTTACTTAAGTTTTTTTACGTACAAGTATTTTTAGACCTTGACAAGATTTAATTATGAGCCCCTTTTATAATTTATTTTGCAGCCGAGGAGAAGGCGCGAGAGCTTGAAACACAAGCAAGGTATCTTTTTGAGTAGATAAGAAACTTTGTGTCCAATTGTCTTTACTAGATCTCATGAAAACTTTTACAAATTTCAGGGAACTTCAGAAGCAGGCGGAACAGACATCCAAAGATAAAAGGGTATTAGTTTCATATTCCCATTTTTTTTGCCACACAATCATTCTTGTTCTCCCCTGCCTGGGAATGTTTTGCTCGCGTAGTTCGCATTTAATATAGTTTCCTCACTACTGCACGCAGCTTAGGGCTTGATCAGCGGGCGCTTGTTAACAAAATAGAGGCTTTTTCCGTATGGCCTAATTTCACCATAAAGGTGCATCTTCTTATTAATATACACGAGTTTGGCGACCTTCGGTTCTACCCATAAGGAAACAGAAAAAAAAAGCAGGTCTTGTGCAACACACAGCACCTTTAATATTTCTTTACTTCTAAATGTAATATTTTCCCCTACCAAGGCGGAGCTGAGAAAAGCACAAGCGCTCGCTACGGCCGCCAGGGCAGATGCACAAATGAAGACCAACATTGCTGAAGCTAAAAAGAAGTACGTCAAATCATTACCTGTAGAATGCAACAATTGAAGTAAATGTATTATATTTTCTGCAGTCAATATTTACTTCCCAAAGTAATGGAACTGGATAGAAATGAGTGCCCCCTTTGCTCCGAAGCGGCTTAAAATAGAAGAACTAAAGCAAACCTCGAAATTCTCGGAGAAACAATAGCTGAGCAAAGCTAGAGAACTTGCCTTGTTGTCTGTTAAAAGCCAAATTCAAGGGGCGAATTTTAAGCCATCGTATACTTCTTGTGCACAGCAATTTGTGTTGAATAGTAAGATATTTTACTACCTGAGTTTGGGCTTGGTTGCGCGGTAGTAGCAGTTAAGGCGTATAGTAAAATTGATTAAAATTACTCCTATTCTGTTGTTTAGACTGTCAGTGTTGCATGACATTTTTCCTCAGATCCATGAAGGAACCTAAGACTCTTAACTTTACTTTTGGATTCAACATTGAGAATCGTCGTTATTACGGAATGTTCATTTACAACTGCAGTCGGTACGTTTTCTTTAATCTCTGCCTTGAAGTCGTTCGTGTTATTATACAAGTTGTGTTCGCTAAGAATTGCTATTAAAATGGACTGAACAATTGTAGCCTTTTCCTCCATGTTTCCTTGTGATTGGTTCTTCTCAGAGACAGACTTGTGTTCATTTTATAGGTTAATAAAAATGTACGAAAAAGTTGGCCCGCAAAAGGAAGGAGGAGTGTAAGTAGTAGCTTTCTAAGTATTTTTGTTATGATAATCTCTACCTTGTGCTCATCTGATAACGATCATTGTTAACATGTACAGCCCTGTGTACATTTGCATGTCTGTCAGTCACCTCTGGTCAATAGTATCCATTGCCTTCAGCCAAAAGAAAAACTTCAATTTTCCTCTTTACATACAGAATTTTTTTTTCTTGACTTTGTTTCTCGTATTTTGTTTTGCAGAAAATGTTATGGAATCATAGGTATGATGGCCCCTTTCCATTTTATTCCACAAAAATCCCTGTCGCAATAAAACCAATCAACGAACCAAATATTACGACCTAATCTTAGCAACAGATCGAAACTGACTTACCTTAGCTGACAAACGCGATTTGAATCTTACAGCCAACAGCATCATGGCAAACCTGACAATAAGCGTCAAAAATCGAAACTTCAATAATTCGTTCTTCACGTGAATTGATCACCATCCGCATTCGTTTCCTCTCCCTCAGGTGTTGTAGATGTGCCTTATCTCGTTTTGGAGCCCACACACAATAAGCAGGATTTCGCAGACGGAAAGGTATAAGATACTTGCCCAATGTCTTCGTGAATAGAACGTTACCTATTCCAGTTGAAAACTGTCTTTCGCGCCTTCTTTCAGCCATCGGAATACGTCATGCTGCTCATTATCCATATACGAGTAGTGTATTTTCATGGTTAAATGCGGCCAGAGAGACAGATTTCAGGTGTATTGAAACACAAGAAACGTTTTAAACCGAAATCACCTTCTACCAGAGTGATTAAACATGCCGTCATTCGAAACTTCTTTATCCGCTGAATTTTTCTGAAAGAAACGTGCAACTCCCACCTGGGTGATTCTCCCTCAATTTTCCCTTCCTCTTCTTTCCATTTACAGGAATTTAAACAATTACAAAGAGCGTTGGGTGAGCACTTAGAACAATACTGGAAAGACTCGAAAATCGAAAGTAAGTGTTTGCTTGGTCAATTCGTTCTTTCACTGACCTTCGTGGTACATCTCCTCTAAAAAATCTCGGTATTAGCTGAAAGGTCTCACGTTCAAACTTGTTGGTGTGGTCAGTTGCCCACTCAATCTGCTTTTACCATTTCACGCCTGAGATCTGAAAGCAATCTGTCCTAACCCTATGGCAGTGCATTTCTCCATTGCATGGTGGTGAGAACCTGTTGTTATATTCTAGCAACTTATTTGCTTAATCCTTGTTACTTCTCCACACGATACTATTTTAAAATTGAATAGTGAACCTATTCATCTCCTACAGGGATTAAAGGGTTAATATGTTGCTAAATGTCTCATACGTTATTTGTACTGATATAGTGCCGTGTTTTCTGAACAGGTCAGGGTGTAACGAAGTTCTGGTAAGTTTTTGGAAAGGCTATGGTTTTGTTGTTGGTTTGTTTGTTGGTTGGTTTTTTTTGCGATGCTTTTTGCTCAAGTGTATGGATCTTAACTGGGTTTAAATCGACTGTTTTCCTACGCTTATTTTATCCCAGGGAGGATTTCGGCTATGTAGGCAAATGGGCAGACGGCCCCTCTATGGATCAGAAGTTTGCGAGAAAAAGGGCGATGCAGATACCATTAAATGTACAGTGCGGTACGTTGATAACGTCACTAATAGTTTGTAAATGAACGCGAACACTTAGGCATCGTCAACCGACTTACTTTAACCCGTCCCTGATATTCCTACTGATACGAAACATCACCCCAGTTGTGGACTTGCAGCTAATATGTGATGCTAAGTTAAAGAAATTTAACACGTGGTCCAAAATACAACGACCCTGCAGGAAGTCTAATCTCCTTAGGGCAAGGGGAGGTCACTCAACAATTTCTCTATGTGGATACCTCTCCCTGAGATTCAAACCCTTCATCTATAATGTGCATCTCTGAAAATGGCGTCTTTTACTCACTTGACATAGATCATGTTGGCACATCAGCAATGTGTTAGATTTCCTTTTTTTAAAAAATAGTTTGTCTGTTAACCTTATTATACATAAGTTATGGTATGGCTTGATTATATCGTTTTCGTGCGTCTTTAGACATATGCCTTAAATGGCGAAAACTGCCGTTTGCTCAGAAAAACGTCGGTCGTCAATTACCAGACGAATGGTGTTGTGCCATGCACCCCGAATCAGGTTTTAACAGGTTTGTTCTCCTTGAATTTGTATAACCAGATACAGATGAAACGTTAGTAAGAATTTTATAAGTCCGCCTTCTACAATCCGTAATATTTTTTGGGTGTAGTGGAACTCCGGTAGTCTCTGTCCATGTTAATCAAGCATCATAAGCATCGTAAGCATCGTTTTGTTGTTTCCCCTTACTTTATGAAGATGTCGGTATCGCAAAACGACCTCAGATGTCGTAATGTTAGAATTTCAGTTCCCTAAAGTAATAGCTTGTGGTAGGGCATTGCGTTACCCTTTGACTCACAGGATCTTCTTGATACAGCAATAAATTGTTAGTACTTTTTCACTTTGGAATTTTTAACTCAGTCACTGAAATCAGCTTTCAAATCTTGGAAATGAAAAGATTGAACCGTGTTTCTCTTATAGCTGTGACCGTCCTGAGCAGGTCATTCCAATTAAGAAAGGAACTTTACAGAAACAAACTAAATCGGCCGAAGAGAAAGCGAAAGAACTACAAGACGAAATCCGGAAAAAGAGAGAAAAACTCTCGCAAGTGGAGGTATAGTTACGCAACCGTGATCAATAGCTCTGTTTATGGCAAACATGGAAAAAACCTTCGTTCGAAAGCGAGGCCGTTTGGATGGCTAATTTTGGCGAAGGACAGGAAGATAATTAAAAATGTCATATGGTTATATTGGTCGAAAGCCGTACGAAATGGAAATTAGAAGTGAGATTATTAGCTCTAGGGAAAGACAGTGGGGTTTGGAGATTAGTAGAGACTACGGTACCAAGATATAGTCAGAGGGGTTGGAGGGTGGACAGCAGGGACCAGAGGTAGATACTGGTATAGGGAAATAATTCGGTGTTGATGGTTTGGGCAGTAAGTTAATAGCTCCGATTTAACGAAGCTGTTATAAGCTTGGTGACGACAAAGTGTAGTTATCCGTCATGCATTCAGTCACGTTACAGTTTTGTATTCAGTAGTACACTGTTCATTGTTATCTTCGCAGCGTCAACGACCACAAGTCGCGCAGGCCACGACACAGAAAAGGGTATGCTATTTCTCATATTAAAGTAGTTAAATAAGTGGGAACTTACAGAGGAAAGAGGTCTGTCAACAGTGTTATGAGCTTCCATTGTTGCAGCTGTCTACTTCGGTTACAGGGTTTTCTCATGGCTGCTAAAAGTACATGGATGATATAAAACAAAGGGGTAGAAATGTTCTGTGATATCAATGAATTTTGTCTGACAGTAGGATCTCCTCTGTTTTATTAAGGTCGAGAGAGTATCTTCGGCGGAGAGTACCTCCTCATCTACGGGCGACACTACAGAGGTGAGGAAAAAAAGCTTTTTTTATAAGACAAATTTGCTGAATAATATAAGCCCTTCCCTCGCTGAGCCGCACACTCGCACAACACCTACCAAGGTCAGGTAAAGGAACATAGTTAGGTTTACCTCATCATGAGGTCTTTTCTCATCTGATGGATATGGTGACCCAGTGTGATTATCTGGCTGGAATGAAGATCGAGAAGGCCTGTTCGAGCCTAAGTCAGGGTCATGGTGATATACTGTAGTGCAAGCTGTCCTTGACAAGAGAAACACTTTTTTATATTTTAAACGAACACCTTTTGATTTTCTTGTATACATTCAGAGACGAGTACAGAGGAGGCCAGTCGCGGACAGTACAGAAGTTAAGAGAACAAAGTCTACGAACGAGGTAAACGAGCGTTGCTAAAATTGGGAGAATTACATCTGCTATTGCAATTGATTTCTGGTTCTTATTTTTGCTGGTTGAAGAAGAGGCTTCATGGACTTTAGAAATGTTGCTGACATGCGTCGTGTCTTACAGTAATGTATCCAAAAATATGACAAGTTTATTATCTGTATCCGTTAAGTAGATGGTGATATTAAAGTGCGAGGTAATTCCCGAAGGTAATGTTCTTATTCTCCGTGAGGAACTGCTTGATGTCACCAAATAGTTAATAGTTCACAGACAGATGAAGACGAAATGTTTCCACCTGAAACGGTGAACATTACTCCCACTCGAGACTAAGAAAGGGCTTCCCTACTTCTAAATCGAAAGTTAAGGAGATAAAATTATGAATTACACTGATTAGAGATAATACCCTTACTACTGTCGGATGATAGGATGTTACTGCAATTCATTTGTAGATGAAATGCAATATTGACGGCGTCCATTTTTTTCTTTCTTAGCCATTAAAACGGCGAAATACAACATCTCCGATTACAATTGAGGTTAGTGTACTTTCTGTGATTTAAAACGCGTAATAAATAGCTTTTTTGTTGATGAAATAACTGTTTCTTTCAGGCCAAACGGAAAAAGAATGAACCACAAGCAACGAAGGTATGAATTTCAAATCAGTTTGTGATTTTACTTGAAGTTATTCCGCAGATACTGTGGAAGTTGATTGGTAAAATTTCCAACCAAAACTTTCCACGGTAAATTAATTTTGGATTTGGATTTTATGGTAGGCGAATTGTTAAACATTTACTTTCTAAACATGATGCCAGCATAATATACTCGTTCTAATTGTAATAACAGACCGTGGTCAGAAAGGAACATCAGGAACAAAGAGAACAGCAAATAAAGAGACGAGAGGAACTTAAGAAAGAGGAGCAACGGAAAAAAGAAGAAGCGGAAAAACGGATAAAAGAAGAGAAGGAAAAACAAAAGAAAATAGAAATGGAACAGCAACGACAACGTCAACGAGAAGAAAAAGAGCGACAACGGAAACAGGAAGAACTCGAGCAAGAAAATAAAAAAGAAAAAGAACAGGAACAACAACGAAAGAAAGACGAAAAAGAACAGGAACAACTTGAGATGGAGCAACTCATGGAATGGAGTAGCGAGGGAGAAACTGATGCAACGACACGTAAGACAGTATTGTTTTTCAATAATTCAGTCTGTTTAGTCTGAGTAAATTGACTTGAGTCTCGTACGCGCTCAGTCTCCTTCTCGTTCAGTGAGTGCAATAGGAACTAATAACATATGGCAAATGATGGGCAAATCCAAATATTGGAACAATACGGGGAACTACGTCGGACGGAAAATGAATAAATACGGGTAGTGGTCTCTAGAACTGGGCCTTGCCTTGACATCCTTCTTAAGGAATGATTTCTAAGGCAAAAATTGAGTTGAGCACTTTGTTTTAATTACAGTTTATCTCGATGAAATACGATTCGAGAGAATAAAGTTAAAGAGCATTCGAATTTGAGAGAATTAACTCGGTGAAGTGACAAATAGCGTGGTATTAGGGGAAAAGCTTGTAAACTTTAATGAAAACCGTTATTAAAGTTTCTTTTCTCTCTCTTTAGTCTCAAAGGGAACCAAAGTAGAAGCGCGGGTTGATAACTCAAACTGGTAAGTTACCTTTCGGCCTGTATGGAAACATTTGCTTATGTAGGAAGAGTTATTCTGTAAAATCGGGCGCCAACTTAACAGCCCTTGCCTCATTAGGGTACTTTCTTGCCTTTGCACTTTCTTCATATGTTCTGTGCACTAACGCTTGTGTCTCTCACTGAGAGAGCTTCTCGTTGAGGGAGTTTGGCGTCTCTAATCTATTGAATTTTACCTTGTGGTGTCTAGGTACATTGGTACAGTGTTTGCTTCAAAACCGAAAAAAGGATTTGCTTGCCGAGTTCGCGTCAAATTCGACATGTACCCAAAGGACAAGTACGACAAGTGGTAAGGGGATAAGTAACTTGACGAACGGAGTTATCTTTACCCAAAAGACATCTTCAAAAGTAACTCAGGAAGGATCGAGGGATGTTGGAGTTCGTCTCACTCTATGACAATAACAGACTCTTAGATAAGCAGAACAACTCCCCGAAATAGAGACTGGAGTCGGTCCATGCATTGATCTTACAGTAATTTAATTGCTTTTATTTTCAAGGATTTTTTTTCTTTAGTAAATCTTCTGTAACATTTTCTGCAGGTTTGACCATCCCAGTGAAGATTTGAGAGTTCTAAAAGTGAGTTTGTCGTTGTTAAAGGTAGAACTACTCAATATGTCTCGCACGTGGCCAAGTATTCTTGCAGTTTTGCTATAATCTAACATACTTCCTCACCTTTGATAAGACCATCTACCTCGTTGGAGTATCCTGAGTGACAGCTCAGTCACATCTCACTCCACAACCGCCAATATCTAATCTCCACGTAATTACGACCAACAAATCATTCTTAAGCTTCCACGTAATGGTCATTCGCGCCATAAATTTACCTCGTTGTTACAACCAAAGTTTCTTGTCGCCATGGTGATATGCCATCAACAAGGATCCACTATGATGGTCGCGGCTTCAGTGATGATACAGTTTTGTCTAAGACGGCGGATGGTTTGTCGTTTATTTACATCGTTTGCGAGCCTCATGATAACGGAAACGATGACCTTTAGAAGGTTGCATAAGGTTTAACAAAATTGCTTGACGTCTAGAGTTTCAGATCGATTATATCAAGTTCACAGTCTTGGCCGAAATTTTTAGCTACTCTCGTCGCGTATTCATTGGTAGTTTAATGATATTGTAAGAGGAAGGTACATACCCAATAGAGGTTAAAGGCGTATTAACGTAGTTGCCAGGAGACCGAGTGTGTGAACACGATTCCTCTCTGTTTTAAGCCTGTGGAAGAATCAGCTCCCAAGTCTCCAAGCCCAAGTAGAGAAGTGTCAAGCTCGACAATTGAAGCGCCAAGCAGTCAGCAGGAGCAGGATCAGAAAACACAGCCGCCAGCTCGACAAGTGAAGGAGCCTGTACAGTCCCCAGAGGACAACCGTGTGTCGTCAATGTCGGATGACACCCTTACGGCAGACCAGGAGCACCCTGCATTAAAAGACGTCGTTGGGTTGTTTAGGTTTGACTGTCATTGTTTTCGAAATTCTTTTTGATATAGTTTTGGCAACGTCTGCTTATCTTGTAGACACAACTCCCATTACAAGATGCTGTCTTAAGTATATTCCGGCAAATTGTAATCTTCAATAGATACTGCTTTCTTGTATGCCTCGGTAGACGAAGGGTGAAATCAGTACGAACCAAATCATTAACTTGTATCACTCTTCTTCACAAGTAATTAAACCAAATCCATTTTAAGCGACTCAAAAACCTCTGGGAATATCTTCAGTAATTCCCTATAGAATTCCTGTTTTAATAAGAGTATGTTTTAAATGAGTTCTCTTTTATTTAGACGCTGTCTTTGCTATTTTGCTCCTCCGTCGTTTAAAATTTCAAAGGAGGACATTAAAGAGATGGGCACTGAGGAGCTGAGAGAATTTCCACTGGTATGAGTTAATCATATCTAGGCTTACTCCAGTTACTTTTGTTTTTGATTTTTTTAACCTGCTCTCGGTACTTTTATCATCAGCAGTTTTTGAAGTTATTATTACGGGTTTTTTTTTTTTTCAGGACAGCTTTATTGATGATTACGAAAAAGGAATTTCGGAGGTAAATGAATTTTTTCCGTTCCTTTTGTCTTTCAGTCCGTTATTTTTCGTATTTTTCTTTTAATCGAGTCAATTCATCAAGCTAATAATGTAATTACTTTATTGTGCTATTTTAGTTGATTGATGGTTTCCGGAAAAAAGGGGAAGAAGCCGATCAAAGAGCTACAAATGCCGAGCAGCGTTTGGCGGAAGCAAACAGCGAAAAAGAGAGATCAACGACCAAATTAATAAATCTGCGAAAAAATGCAGGAAAACTGCTTCGCTTTATACAAGAGGTGTGTTGACACCTTTGATTTCTCGGAGCAATCGTCCCTTTTCGTGAATGTTTTTGATGATGCAGTCGTCCATTCCACTTTTGCGGCCGGCCACTTGTTTTTTTATGTTTTTCTTGTAATGTTGTGTTTTTACGTTACTTAAGAGGTTTTTGTTGCCTTTTTCCCCGAAAATCCTAGCTTCTTGACGTCATTTTGTCGATGCTGGTTTCGTTTTCAGAGCCGCCTTAGATAACAGCGAATCGTCGAAATCGAAGTGCGTTGTGTAGAATAATTCCGCGACGAAGTCGAGTATTATCAAAGTGCGACTGCATTGTTTTCCATTTTCGTTCCTTATAGGAATAAAGAAATTGCACATGGGCTACGTTTACTTTTAGTGCTTTCGTTTCATGATCCCCTTGGGCTAGGTGGTAATTGCAAACAAAGCACGTGCATGTGATCTTCGTACTATTAAAGTAATTATACTAGCCTTTAAGCTCTTGTTTTGCCGTGTTCCCACTCTAGGATCCCAATGACTGCGCAATAAGTGAGGATGATGTTTCAGACAAAGTGGATGAAATGATGGAGAACATAGCACAGCAGGCGGAGGACCGATGACAGATGCTTTTTTTTTCTTCTTCCAGTTCGCTGATTCTTTACGTGCCATTCGTGTTCTTTCAGTTTTATAGTACATCGTTTTTACAAGCTGTGCGATGACTCATGGTTTGTTAAGCTCAACTCTCTTCCAATTTTGGTACAAGTCAACACGCGTTGGACGATAACGCACGTTCGGCTCGCGTTCAAAGATGCCTTTTTACTCGAGTTATTCCATACAACTTGAAGAAATTTCTTTAAATTGTAACTGTATACATATGCACAAATAAACGTTTTGTTTTCGTTAGAAATGTAAGAGATTTTTCTCAAACGTTCGCGAAATGTTTTTCTAAGAAGCATCGATGACTCAAGACATTTGAAAAGGAACAAGAAGGACTTCAAAGGCTGTTCGTTTTGATGGTGATCACCTGAAATTGGGAGTCAGCGATGCCTGAAGTCCCAAGTAAAATGTCACACTCATGCGCAAGAAATGTGCCTGGACAAGGAAGTCAACATTTCAGACACATAACCTCACGAGGTTTATAATTTTTCAGTTATATGATGATATTTATTTCAGACGGACGTAGAAAGTCAGTTCAGTAACGTTTTTAACTGTAAAATATCTGTTTTTCAGAAACACAATGTAATGACTATTTTGTATTATTTTAAAAGATAAATGTGTGCATACGGTTTTTTGACTTGCTTGTTATCACACTGTATTATGATTCCTGTGCAACGTGTGAAGGAACTTGGCGTGTCATTTCGTGGTCCTCTAGTTGATTCCTACAAGGTGAAGGAGTCGTGTTAGTTGACATCTTAAATTCAGTGACTTAAAAACAAATATCGTTATAGTGCTTGTTGAAACCTCTGTAGGCAAGTACAGAAAACTAATGAAAACAGTATCAGGAATAACACCCTCATGACTTGTCTGTTTTCAAGTAAAAACTCGATGGTTCATATGGTGACTTACACTGTGAATCTTCCTAACCATGAAAGCTACTCAAAAATTGTAAAGTGATAATTTTGGAATTAAATGGATCAGAAAACAAAAAAGTATCTCGGACCACGAATTTTGACTTGGTTCCTTTTAACTGAGCGAATATTTTAAACAGTTAGGTAAGTGACTTAGAATTCTAGTTATTGAGTGTTCGCTTTGGCAAAAGTTGATCGGTGCTCATAACCCAATACACAGACGCTTTGGCAAATAAATTGATATTTTATTCAGTAGCGTGTCACTATCTTCTATCTACTCTTGAGAGAACGTCATTCACGTAAAGAATACATTAAAGAATTCCAGGATGTTTTAAAATGACGTAGCTGAGAGTATCAAATGATTTTTTTTTACTACAACCATTTTGAAATCACTGGTGGTCCCTGTAATCTGATTGGCCCTAATTGGTGCGACTTATTCACGAATCGTACCATTTTTTGCCTTAAATCGTATCTTTTTCCCAGCCAATGAGGAGGCTACACTAAAAAAACAAAACAACCAATTAGATTTCAAGGCTTATTTAAAGTAACCAATCAAATTGTAGGGAAATGAAAGAGAGAGTATCATGAGGCAAATTTTGCAACTTTTGTTTCCAAAAAAAAATGGATAAATTTATTTTCAAACCAGCTCTATACTACATCAATAAAATATTTGACCAAATTCTGTACTCGGGCGATTTCAAAATGGATGTAATAAAGTGGTAATTGTAACTTGTAATTTCAAATTGAACTCGCGCTGCGCGCTCGTTCGATTTTGAAATCACGCGTATGATTTCAGCCCAAATTACACCCATTTTGAAATCACTGGTGGTCCCTGTGATCTGATTGGCTCCAATTGGTGCGATTTATTCACGAATCGCACCATTTTTTGCTTTAAATCACATCTTTCTCCCGGCCAATAAGCAGGCCACACTAAAAACGAAACAACCAATCAGATTTCAAGGCTTGTTTAAAGTAACCAATCAAATTGCAGGAAAATGATAGACAGAGTATGGTATGGCAAATTTTGCTACTTTTGTAACTCTTACTTTTTCCCCCCAAAAAATGGATGAATTTAATTTCAAACCGGCTCAGTGCTGCATCAATAAAATATTTGAAGTGACCAAGTCCTGTATTTGGGCGGTTTCAAAATGGACGTAATAAAGTGGTAATTGAACCTCGTCGTGCAATCGTGCAATTTTGGTAGGAGATCATACTTGTGATTTCAAATCAAACTCGCGCTGCGCGCTCGATCGATTTTGAAATCACGCGTATGATTTCAGCCCAAATTGCACTCCACTCAGTTCAATTACCATTATAAATTGCACTCCACTCAGTTCAATTACCATTATGTACAGAACTGTTATGAAATCCGAAGCTATAGTGGGATATTAATGGGGAGAAGGGTGAATTATTACACACCAACGAAGGAAAGAAAAACAGATGTAGTTCTGTCCCAAGTGTTAGAGGGAAGAGTTATTCAAACTTTATCCATTCTCAAAGGAAAAAATAGGGGCACTGCGTGTATATATATATATGTATATGTATATGTGTGTGTGTATAAATATATATATATATATACTACAAGAATATACTGCAAGAAAAGTTGTCCGTATAGCTCAGAGTGAAATACGCCAGGCTACCAAAGCGGGCCCCAATCAGGGGTTCAAATCCTGGCGAGGGGAACTTGTCTTAGATTTTTTAAATTTTTTTAATCATTTCTTTTCATTTCATTTTATTCAGTATATTTGTTGGTTTTCCTATTTTATACTTCAATGATAATAGTATTTAATGTGTTTCAATACTACTCGCTTTTTCGTAAATGAACGGAGTTTTCTGTTTCATGGATGGCAAGTTTACTTTTTTCCTTTACCCTAAAAACGAGGAACTGTACCGCCACACAACTAAATTTCAACAAAGTATGTCAAAAGTAGCTTAATCATCACAAAAAAGCCTTATCCGAGTCAAAACACCGTTATTTCAACATTTTTCTGGAGTTGGTCCATGTAGTGGGTGGCTCACGTGATATTTATATAAAGCAGATTTAGTGCATCTCGCTTCAAGACACGTTCCTCGCAGCTCAGTCGAGGGAGCATTGGACCGCAAAAGCGAGCCCAGTCAGGGTTCAAATCCTGGCGAGAGGAGCATTTCTTCCCATTTTTTTATTTTTCATCCACGTTTCCTTTTTCTTATGAACTTGTTATTTTTTCCCATTACACACTTCGATTATAAAAACCGTTAAATGTGTTTGTATCCTGCTTCCTTTTTCGTGGGTGAAAAAACGTTTCTATCCACTTGATCACAAATTTACTTATTCCCTACGCCCTTTAACTGAAGGAATGCATCTCAACTCGACTAAATTTCAACACTATGAGATATAACTGTTTGGTTATCATAAAAACATCAGATTTAATTAAGTCGAAACACTTTAGTTTCAACATGTTTCTGAAGTTGATCTATGCATTGAGTTGTTCACATGTTCAGTATATGCAAAAGGTTTATTAAAGGTCGTAAAGAGAAGTTCCCCGTAGCTCAGTAGGGAGAGGGTTGGACTTCGAAGGCGGGCCAAGTCAGGGTTCAAATCCTGGTGAGTAGAAGTAGTCTTCCATCTTTTAATATTAATGATTTCTTTCTTTTCTCTTTTGTGCATTTGTTTGTTTCCCCGTCTTGTACTTCTTTGATAAAACCTAATATATCTCTTTTACTTCTATAGCAAAGTTAAACAATTTTTTTCTTTTGCGACAGAAAGTTTTACGGCTGGGATTCCTTTCTTCAATCAAATGGTGTTCCTTGTCATTTTTATTTAATTCAAATTTTGCTACTTCCATGGAAACCGTCGTAGTTACACATGAAATGACTCTATTTGTGATGCGTTCCCAAAAGGCATGACAACAAAACAGTCGTCATAATTGTGACGTATTCATCAAGGATTGGTTTGTTCTCTCATTCCATATTCATGTGTATTCAAGTTGTGAAGTTTTCTTAAACTGAAAAGATCAAGGACTAGAGAGGACGTGTAACTATGAGGTCTCCGTGTTTGTGCCAAGAAAATGCAGAATCTGCTTGAAAGTTGTCTGAAGGTAAGCATCACTGATAGAAAACAGTCAGAATAGTTTTATCGCTCTCTCTAGAGGGTTAATGAACTAATTTAGCTAAGAGAAGGCTTTTGGTTCGCTTCTTGCTTCGCCTTCGACTTAAATAGATGTCGCTGATCATACCTGTAGGATAGAACGAACGCTACTTAGCCGAAAATTAAGGCTATGTCAGGATTTCGAGAGAAATTACTCACAATTGGTGAATTTTCGAGCTGTGGATTATAGAAAAAGGCGATGATCCTCGCAAGAACATGTAATGCGAATAAAAAACGAAGCCACGTGCGCTTCATCTCTTTGTTGCTGAAAGCGCAGAGGAAATGCGGGTGAAACCTTTCATGTTAATGAATAACGTTGTTAAAACGAAATCCTTTTCAAGAACATGGTATTTGCGACTCAAATTCCTTTAACCCGTATTTACTGAACTCGCGTTTCCTCCTCTCATTCATTTGTAAAAGTTTTATGTCAATCAGCTAAACACTAAATATTATTTTACTCATCTCTGCTTACAGGATGACTGAGAGGACGAAGATGACGGCAAAACGAAGAATTCAAGGGAACAAACTGGAATCAATGAATGCAAAAAAAACTCTGCCAAGATAAGAACTTTGAATTTTATTATATCGTTCTTGTATTTAAATGGTGGCTGCCTAAATTTCTAGATTTGCGTTGTGAACCTCAGCTGATTGAATCATTTTGTCAAATACGAGTGGCAGTTGGAAGAGTAGAAGAAGGTGAGGAGGCGTTCTTCAAAAAAGATTTGCCTGAGGGGATGGCAGCCAGCATTTAAGTTGGATATTTTAAGGTGGCACTGAAAAATAAAAACAAGCACAGACTGTCCTGTCAGTGTTATAAGATTTGAACTGAGGAAAAAATAAACGAAATAAAAAAAAAAAAGAAAAGAAGTTAATCTTTGATGCCACAACAACACTCTTGTCAGGAAACAACTCTTGTTGTTCTTGTTTTTGTCATTTTTTATTTGGAAAACTACGATTTCTTCAAGAATAATTCGTCTGCTATTTTGTCAATACAATAATCAGTGCCGCCTTAGAAGATTCGCACATTTTCTTTGAAATGGACTAAAGAACGTGGGCAACTTAAAATCTTTTGGAA